GCACTGCTGCTCCGCTCACAGTGGATCCGGAGCCGACTATCTGCTCTGTGAGTCAGGGCTGCCGCGGCTGCTGGGGCAGCAAGTCCAGAACCAGGGCTTTCCACCCACACTGGGGGGCGGGTCGCCAGCACTGCCTGCCCCTGGGGCGTGGGAGCACGGGTGCAATGTCGCCCAGCACCCCTGCCGCAGCACGCGTTGGCGTACAAATGCCATTCTTGTGGCTGTTACTGCGTTGGCGTACTAATTGCCATTCTTGTGGCTGTTACTGAGTTGGCGTACTAGTGCCATTCTTGTGGCTGTTACTGCGTTGGCGTACTAATGCCATTCTTGTGGCTGTTACTGCGTTGGCGTACTAATTGCCATTCTTGTGGCTGTTACTGCGTTGGCGTACTAGTGCCATTCTTGTGGCTGTTACTGCGTTGGCATACAAATGCCATTCTTGTAGCTGTTACTGCGTTGACGTACTAGTGCCATTCTTGTGGCTGTTACTGCGAGTGTAGCTAGAATTAAGAGATTTGGGGGACCATTTAACTTAGTTACTGCTGGTTTTGAAACGTCTTTGTACAGATAGAAAGGGTTGGCACAGATAGGGTAATGTGCAAGGCCGGGAGGTAGGGTCACACTTATCTGGGTTTCCGTGGAAACTATTTGAACATTTGTTTTCTGTGGATTTTCATTCACTTTTCAAACATGTTACTAAATAGTGCCCTTCAGCAGCTGGGCAAGCATGTGTAGAATGGACGCTTAGTGCTGTGGAGAGAGAGAGAGAAACATCGATGAGAGAGAACATCGATTGGCCGCCTCCTGCACGCCCCCCACTGGGGATGGGCCCACAACCTGGGCATGTGCCCTGACCGGGAATCAAACTGGCGACCTCTTGGTGCAGGGTTGATGCTCAACCACTGAGCCATACCAGCCCGACTCCTTTCCTTCTTTTAATACCAACTCTATTGGGATATAATTCACAGACCCCAAAATTCATTGTTGTAACATGTAGAATTCAGAGGATTTTAGTTTATTCATAGTTGTGCAACCATCACCACTACGTAACTTCAGAACATTTCCATCACCCCAAAAAGAGGCCTCATACCCATTAGCAGTCACTCCTCATTGTCCCCTCTCCCAGCCCTCGGCAACCACCAGTCTAGTCTCTGTCTCGCTGGGTATCCCATGTACATGGAATTGTAAGCTATGTAGCCTTTGTGTCTGGTTTCTATCACTTAGCATCATGTTTCCCAGACTCATCCATGTGGCAAACGGTGTCAGTCCTGTGGCACCGGCAGAAATTCCCAGCCAGGCAAGCTCCAGGCTGCCCACCCCGCCCCCCAGCTCTGCTCCTGACCACGATGAAGACCCAACGCCACCCTCCCTGCCCACTCTTGCCCCATTCCCCACCCAAGCAGAGCCCTTCTCCTCGGGAAAGTTTTTTGCTGTTTACTGTGTCATCAATCAGTTTTATGCCCTGTTCCTTGGTGCCCGTGTGCCTCCGTCACCAAAGGCTGTGGGTCAAGGCGTTGGCTGTGGGAAGACCTGCTTCCAACGACATCACATGGTCGCTGGGAGAGTCGCTGCGAGAGTCGCTGCCTCTGGGGCTGTTGGGCTGAGAACGCTCGTCAGCTGTGCACAGAAGCCACCCTCTGCGCCCTGCCACATGGGCCTCTGGGGACACGGCCGCTGACTCCATCAGGGTGAGAGAGTGACAGGAGCCAGAGTGTGAGCAAGACATTAGAGTCTTTGATAACCTGTTCTCAGAAGTGATATCCTATCACTTTTATCAGTGTGTTCATTTTTTATTGCTGTCTAACACATGATCACAAACTTGGAAGCGTAAAACAACACCGATTCATTATCCGGCAGTTGATGTGGTCAGAAGCCAGCACAGGGCAGCTGGGTCCTCCGCTCAGGGCCCCGCAAGGCTGCTGTGGAGGAGTCGGCTGGGCTGCGCTCACGTCCGGACCTAGAGTCCACCTCACTCACTCGGGATTGTTGGCAGAATTCAGTTCCTTATGGTTGTAGCACCGAGGTCCCTGTTTTCTCGCTGGCTGTCAGCTGGGGCCACTCTCAGCTCCTGCCTTGTCTTCCTCCAAACAGCAGGAAACAGGTGGCCTTCTTTTAAAGGACTCACCTGATCAGTCCAGGCCCACCCACAATCTCCCTTTCGATTGACTGATTGGGACCCCGACCACGGAGGTACTCCCGCCACACCCTGTGGTCCTGCCAGTCACCAGGAGGGCAGAGAGCCTTGGAGCTAACTGAGCATTCTGCCTACCTCGGCCATGTTCTACTTGTTAGAAGAAACCCACTAGGTCCACTCCACAACTAAGGGGGGGAGAGGACTCAGGAGTCAGGGGTCAAGGGTCAGTCAGAGCTCATTGGGAGCCACGTGAGAAGCTGTGCCCAGACTCACCTAATCAACAGCCTCTTTCTCAAAGCTGGGGGAGGCGTGTGGGGGGTGTCTAAGCCTGCCTCTTTGGGGTCTGTGGTACTTCATTCACAGGTTTGCTTTCTGTGTCCTGTGATTTCGGATCAGGAGCTCAGCTTCAGAGGGGCTTTGTCTGAGGAGTCTTGGGTGTCCGGGCTTCAGGGATCATCTAGAAAGATTTTCTGTGTGTTTTTGTTAGGATCCCAGCGGTACCACAAAGCCACAACTACATTTTTTGTTTGTTTGTTTGTTTTAAAAATTTTTTTTTCTTTATTGGTTTCAGAGAGAGAGGAAGTGAGTGGGAGAGAGAGACAGAAACATCGATGAGAGAGAACATCGATTGGCCGCCTCCTACATGCCCCCACTGGGGATCTGGCCCACAACCTGGGCATGTGCCCTGACTGGGAATCAAACTGGCAACCTCTTGGTGCATGGGTCGACGCTCAACCACTAAGCCACACCGACCAGACAGAATCAGATCATTTTTAAATATCCTTGGAGGCAGGACAGACAGACAGAATCACAGAGGCCATGACATGGAGTCTGATCTTCCACTCAGAGGTCTGGAACCTCTACCCAGTCACCCTATCCAGAGGTGACAGAGACAGGAGATGACACCAATGTCCATGTCATGTCTGGTTGCCCGACTTCCACTGAAGTTTAGCTGGGATCCTGCCGGGAGGATGTGGCCACATCTGCTGTCAAAAGACTTTCCCTTCCAGGCCAGGCGCTGGTGGGGACTTGGAGGGACAGAGCGCTGGCCCTTCACCCAGCCAGCAGCTCATACTGCGTGACCTTCCTGTCATTTCTGGGCCTTCCTGTCTTTGAAAGTCTGAGTATGAAGCAGGCAGCTTTCGGCCTTCGCCTGCGTGAGTGGACAGCCCCCCGGTGGGGAGTCTGGAGGAGGTAGCCTGTGGTCCTCACTACAGTGGAAGCTCCCACTGCCCCCATGAATGTAGGACCCCGAATCTGCCAAAGACAACTTGGTAACTGGCTTACATTGCTTTGCAGCAGTCTGGACAGGGTTTCATTAGGAGGCATCACAGACGATGGGTTTAATCACCTTCCCTAGAACTGGGCCCAGAAAGGATGAAGCCAGTTGTTTGGGTAGAAGAGGGACCAAGAGACCAGTGAGGGACTCTCTGGGGGTCCAGAATGTCAATAGCAGAGGTCCACTGAGCTCTAACCCCGAGTGCCCAGACCTCGGTTCCTGGCACCCTTCAGGTCTCAGTCATTTTTCATGGTGTTCCTGAGGCCAAAAGAAATAGCCGACAGTTCTATGTATGAATTGCTTTAGGTCTAAATAACTTGTAAGTATTGATGTGCTGATAATTTAGTAGTCATTCAGGAAACAGAATTCACAGCAATAACATGAAAAAATTGGTGCTTGATTTCATTTTTGAATAACCACCGCTACTTGCTGATGGGCTGTGTGCCCTGGTCAGCTAGCTCCTCAGACCCGAAACAGCTTCTCAAAATTACAACGGGGAAGAAACGCGGAGTGACCTAATGTCGAAACCGTGAACCACCTGGACCTTGAACTTGCTCAGAAATGTACGGGACCACTGCTTCCCTCTCAAGTGTAGAAAATGTAAAGCATCCTTTGCACCTTGAGTTTCCTGGAGGCCCAGGCCCGGGGACCTCGCAGCCAGGTGCTGAGGGGGTTCACACGTGCCTCTTTTGTAGGTACACTGGACCAAGAAAGAACCTTGGCTCAGAGCGGCAGACCCCTTGCCTAAAGTCACAATCTGGCTCCAGCGCCCCCTAGGGACTGCTAGAACAAAACTCAAGTGAGGGCAGGGGTGGGGGGGTGGGGTACAGCTTATGGGTGGAAGATCTAGGAGACCTGAAGCTACCTAGACTGAGTGTGGACAAGGGTCTGGACTTCAGCCAGTGGTGGAGGGGGCGTGGAGCATGAGAAGTGGTGTGTCCCCAGCAGAACTTTTAGGGTACAGTCGGGAGCTCTGTGACCCTCCTGCAGCCCCCTCGCTAGTCTTCACCAGGGGCGTTGAAAGTCTTCACCGTGGGGTATCAGTCCCTCCCCTGTAAGCGGCAGGGTGGAGAAAGTGGCACCCTCAGCCTGTAGGAGGGCTGAAGCTCTCATGGGCATTGAGGCTGAAGCTGGCAGAGGGCAGTGGCCAAGTTTACCTGGGCTTGGACAACCATTCTGCTGGCCCATACTGGGCACAGAGTGACCCTGACACGGCTTAGAAGTGGACCCTGTCCCCCAAGGAGTCCTTTGGGACGCGGTGGGTAGAAACACCCCAAAAGATTAAAAAAGGATGGGGGTGGGCAAGGAGGATGGGGCAGCTGGGCCTGGGTCCCTGGAATCTGTCCCATCCTCTAGACCCCGTCTCTGCTGAGGTCCCGACAGGCCACCCCAGGCACGTCCTTCTCCTGGGCGGTTGGGGTGCGACAGGCAAAACCCGGAGTTCTAGGAGGGAAGCCAGCCTGGTGGGCGGGGCTTAGGGGGGTAAATCAAGGCCTCTGACGACTGTGCCCCAGAAGCTGCATGGGCCACACACACACCCCGGGATGGCTCTGTTCCCCCGGCCTGAGACTTCCCAGTCAGGACAGTACAAACACCTCTTTATTGTCCATTTTCTATAAAAAGTCGTGCCCTTCAGTGGGCTGTCGGGTTAGGATGTGCCAAGCGCAGGACAGGCTCCACCCAGGCCTGTGGCTGAGGGCTTGGGTAGGACAGGGGGAAGGGGTGCGCAAGGGGACTCATCCCGCTGGGGGGCTGCAGGCCTGGGGAGCGGGTCAGGAGAGAGGCCCCTCCAGGGTGGTCAGCTGAGCCCTCAAACCCTAGGCCTGGCCGGGGGTCTCAGGTCCCACTCCACCTAGAAGGCTGAAGCGCGGAGCCCAAGCTCCAGGTGGTCCCCGGTTCTGGGAGGGGGTATTCCCAAGCACGGGGGGAGGGGCAGATGGCCCAGGACTCAGAAGGTCCCACCACCCGAAACGCAGTCAACTGAGGCGGACGAGGAGCCTGGGCCCCTCACTTCTCCTCTGGCCCATCGCCTTCCTGAGCCTGTTCGTAGGGGCAGGACCGGCGGCAGAAGCCGGCTGGCTCGGGACCAGGCCGGCCCCCCAAGGGCAGCGCCTCCTCCTCCGCGCCGTCCCCCTGGCCGCCCCCACCGGCGCCGCCGCCGCGCTCGCCCTCCGCGTCGCTCTCGTCGGAATTGTCCTCCTCCAGGTAGCGGTAGCCGCGCACCTTGTGCTGGGGTCGCGGGATGCGGGGCTGGCGCGGGGCCACGCCGCGCCGCAGCTTCTGCTCCATCGCCAGGTAGGAGAGCGTGGCCACCACCAGCGTCAGCAGCAGCACCGCCAGCTTAACCTGGGCGCACAGGGAGACGCTGGGGACCCGCGGGCCGCCCCATACCCTTCTGCCCCGTCCCTCGCCCGACAGGCCCGTTCCCACCGGTTTCCTGAGCACCCTCCTGCCGCAGCCTCAAATCCCCGCTCTGCCCTTCACAGGCAGAGGTGAAGATGCCCACAGTGCGGGCCTGGCCCGCTTAGGTCCCTCTGCCCCTTGCGCTGGGGACCGTAAGTAATGCCTCTCAGACGTTTGACTGTAACCCACAAACCCTACATCATAACTCAGTACCTACACATATATTCGCATACATGCTCCCTGCTGTTTTCTATTCCATTTCATTTTTTAAAAAAATATTGGTCAGGCCCTGGCCGGTTAGGCTCAGCGGTGGAGCATCGGCCGGCGGACCAATGAGTCCCGGGTTCAATTCCGGCCAAGGGCACCAACACACCTCAGTTGCGGTTAATCCCTGGCCCTGGTCCGGGTCATGTGGGAGGCAACCAGTCGATGTGTCCCTCTCGCGTCGATGTTTCTCTCTCTCCCTTTCGCTCCCTCCTACTCTATCTGAAGATAAGTAGAAAAATATCCTCAGGTGAGGATTAAAAAATATATATGGGGGGGGGTGTCAGGAAGGACCTGCTAAACTGACTCAGTTGAGTGGGAGCAGAGCATGAGGACCCTTGCTCCCCGATAACTATGAGGGAGACAGGCCCTCAGAATCCCTCTCAGAGCCCAACATCCGGTGAACAGGTTATCCAACTACACTCAAGGAGGCTGGGATGTGCCCACTGGCAAAGAGCAAACTGTGAGCCCTGTCAGACACCAGTAAACTGAGGCCTAGGGAGGTGAGGCAACAGCGAAGGCTGGGTTTGGGGCCACCCAGAAGGGATCTGTTGCCTGAGTTGGGGGATGTATGGGGTGCCTAATGCCCCAGAGGCCCTCCCCCACCCCACTCAGCCTCACCTTCATGGGCAGGCTGGAGCCCAGGTACACAATGAAGATGGCCACCGCCTGCCACCAGTGGTAGATGGTGAAGATGAAGTCTTGCCTCTCTTTGTCCTCATACAGGATTCCCAGCAGTGCTGTGGGTGTGCAGGGCAGGGCAGGGGGTGGGTGAGAAGAGTCACCCAGGGCCCAGGGCGCCTGACCTCCCACTAGTGACCCTCCTAGGCTGTGCCAGGTCCTAGCCCTCGGCTGGGAGAGCCTACACCACTGCTGTAGACCGGTCCTGGCCTGCCCCCTAGTGGAATCCCTGGCTATCACGCTGCCAAAGGAGCTGAGCAGAGTAGAGAGTAGGTGAGATGGGACACAGTGGGGACTCGGTCTGGGGCTCTTGGCCTGAAAAGCGGAAAGCCTTTTGTGCCATCACATCCTGTCCCCTCTCAGGGCCCAGTGTTCAGTGCCTGTTTCTCCCCCTCACCCCTGGCTCCGGGAAGGCAACCTGCTGCAGCAACAAGCTTCCCACAAATCAAAGCTGAAGTTGGGGTATGCGAACATATTTCCCAAAGAATCCCCCTGGGCTGAGCAGAACTGGACAGGCAATCAGGGGGCTCAGACTCTACCCTCAGGCCAGTAATGTGGAGAGAGCTGGTACAGAGACGCGGATTCAAATGTTGGCTCTGTGGGGGACTTGGAGAAGTTAACCCCCAGGGCCACTTTTCCCACCTGGAAAATGAGAGCAGGTGTATATGCTATACTGCGAGGTTTTCATGTGCGAAAACTCACGCAGCAAGCGTACACCCACCTGCCACTTGGACACGAACACCTCTGTCCTAAGGCCCCGCAGTGTGACTGTAGCCCCATGGGGCTGCTGTGGAGGGACATGGAGTCCCAGGGTCCACAAAGAAGGGGATATCGGGACCAGGCCCAAGTCCACGCATATCATGGGTCCAAGGAACCTAGGCTGGATGCTGCCCAGAGCTGGCTACCCCTGAGCAAACAGCCAAGAGACTGTGGTCCAGAGCATGGGCTCCACCTCCTGAAGGGTACAGGTGCTTGCCTCTCTCTGATGGTAAACGCCAGGTCACGTGAGCCAGCCCCTGCCCCGCCTGCAGCAAGCGTGACCTCCACCGAGCCACGCTGCCAGGAGTGGCGTTCAAACGTGTTACAGCACTGAACAGATGCTGACGTAGAGAGCCAAATGGCTGAGCTGTGCGTAAGCCCACCTGAGGGCAGAGAACACCACAGAGCTGAACTCTGACCCACTGCCTCCTTTCTGCAAACAGGGCCCCACTCCCTGGTGCCCTGACCCCAGCAGCCCAAACGTGGGGCCTCGACTCTGCTACGCTGCAGACTAGTGTTGGGGCTTCATGCCTGCTCCCAGCTCCTCTCTGTAAAGGCCATAGCTGTCTACACCTGGGGTGTGGACAGGGCCGCTGTTGCTTCCCATGCTCCCAGGGCAGACCCAGAATTTGCTCCCAGTGAAATGAAAACTGTGTCAAATGGGTTCTGTCCCCTGGTATGAAAGCAAGGTAACCCTAATGTATTTTTTCACACTATCCTTCAGAGCCCCGTACCTACCCCATGTAGCCATAAGATCTTACACTGACCCCTTCGTGTCCACAGAGCCCCATGCCCACCCTGGGGTGTCCACAGGATGTCCATGGCATACGACTCCCATACCTGTCCCTAGGGTGTCCACAACCCTCCCCATCTGTCCCTAGAGTCCACAGGACTTCCTTCTACACCTGTAGTGTCCACGGGGATCCCCACCTACCTCTATCCTGTCTACAGGACCCCATGACAGACCTACCGCGTGTCCATGGGACCCCACGTCTATTCCTGGGATGTCTGCGATGCCCCCACTGCCCCAAGGTAGCCACAGGGTTACCCAGCCATCCCAGAGCCATGGCTATACTCACTGGTGAGCCCGGTCTTGTTGAGGGCACTGCCCACACCCCAGAGCACAGCTGCTACATAGAGGATCCAGATGTGTTGCAGGACCCGAGGTTTGGGGGCCCAGAAAAAGAGGCTGAGAGTGAGCAGCAGGTGCAGTGCGGCCCCAGACACCAGGGGCACCTGGCGTGGCAGCCACAGCCCTAGCAGGCCCAGGACCGAGGAGGCCGAGGCGCCCAGGCTATAAGCCACGAGGAGGTAGGCCAGGCGTTCCAGCCCAACGGAGCACACACCATAGCCCTGCGGGGGGAGGGGGGCATGTTAGGTCAGCTGGTCCAGGCTCTGGCTCTCCCCACATGAGGTCTCACTTTGGGCTACACCCTGCTCCCTCTGAGGCTCTTGGGAAGGTTTTGGGGTGGGGTGGGACAGAGAATGAGACAATGCTTGGACACTGTCCCCAGGCACCAAGGCTGCACCCCACATGGAACCAAACGCTTTATAGGTGTTATCCTATCTTAACCATATGACATCTCCGGGAGTGAATATCATTACTAGACTCACTTCACAGATGAGGAAACTGAGGCTCAGAGAGGTTAAAATAATTTGTCCAAGGTAGAGGGGAAATAAGGGAAGAGAAGAGAGAGGGGAATATTTGGGACATACATGTACGTACTTAAACCTATATTCAAAATTTAATCGTTGTTCATCTGAAATTCAAATTGAACCATGCATACTGTATTTTACCTAGCAATCGATGCAGGCTGAACTTACCAGGGCGAGGCCAGTGCAAGCAAAGAGGACCTCAAAGCCGCTGTAGATGAAGAAAGGAACGAGGTGGCGCAAGCGGAAGTCGCGCACGTGCTTGAAGGGCAGCTGGAAGATGTTGCCCCAGCCCACACTGCGCAGGTCGATCTCCTCGGTGGGCCGGTACGCGGCGCCGCACAAGCCCAGCACCTGCGGACCCGCGCCGTGAGGGGGCAGCAGCCAGGCACTCCGGCCCCGCCCCGGGCCCCGCCCCTGGACACACGCCCCGCCCCTCACTCTAGACACACCCCCAGACTTCGGCCTTGCCTCCCAGCTCCGCCTCCAGGCCACGCCCACGCCCTAGCCACGCCCCACGCCTTAGCCCTGCCTCCAGTTCGGCTCCGGGATTGGAGCCACACACCTTCCGACCCTCGCCTGGGTTCCACCACCAGCCCAGGTCACAGCCAGTCCTCTCGGACCCTGTCTCCAGCTCGACCCCAGACCTGGCCTGGTTCCCTACCAACTCCAGTCTCAGTCCTCTTCCTGCCCTACTGTCCCGCGGCGCAAGGGCGTTGCCTCCCCAGGACTCAGCCCTGCCCAGGACGCCAGCCACGCGCCCAGACTGTACCCCCATCCCTGCCTCGGGCCCCAGACTTCACTGACTCCGCCCCATCCCGGGCCGCACCAGCAGCATGGCCAGGAAGGCCACCGCCATGAGCACGCTCTCCACCACGATGAGGTTTCGGCTCCGCGGCAGCGTCCGGAGGACCGTCTTGTTGAAGCCGCTGAGGATGCCCTGGCTGTTAGTGCCTGAGAAGAAGAGGCGTTGGGAGTGTCAGGAAGTAGGGCATACTCTCACTCAGTCACAAAGAAGTGCAGCAAGAGGGTGGGTTGAGGGGAGGGTTAGAGGGGCGGGCGATGGCAGTGCACGCAAAGCAGGGTTCCTTTGGGGAGCATTTTAGAAGTGAGGGCCACTAGGGCTGAACCACCCCAAGGAAAGGGACACTTTTCCCCATCCTCCTTCCCGCTCTATTGCACTGAGGCTGAGTGGATGGGGAGGGGGGCGTGGAGGGCCAGTCCATCTCCTACATCTGTACATTCACCTGCACTGATTGAGCTCTGAGGGCATGACTTGGCCCCAAGAGAGGTCCCACAGGTGCTTTATCCCAGATAGCACTTCCTCCAGGTAGCCTTCCCTGATGCACCCCTCCCCTTGTGCTGGGTCAGATAACTACATACTCCACAGGGCCCTGTGCTTCACCCATCAGAGCCTTGGGACACGAGACTCTCAGCCCTGAACCTTTGAGAGAGAGCATCATCTCTGTCCTGGAGGGCCCAGTGTCTGCCCTGCAGGCCTCAATGGGGGAGGTGAGCAGGCCTTGGGGACCCCACCCCTGTGAGGACTAACCGCAGCTGTGCACGTTGAACAGCGTGTGGTTCAGGTCGTACAGGTAGTGATTCAGGAAGTAGATCATGGGCAGCTGGGCGCAGGCGAAGCTCAGCTGTGGGCAAGAGGCACGGGCATGATCTGGGAGGGGTCTGGGCACAGCCTTGAGGGGACAGGAGTCCTCCCACCTCTGGGGCAGCCTGCTGGTAGGGGGAGGAGTGCCCAGTGCAGGAGGATGTCTTCCTGTTTAGTATTGTGGACAGCGAGGGAATGAGGTCTCAGTCATCTGGGATAAGCAAACAAGGACTGGCCCAAGAAAGGGCAGTGGAACTAGAAGGCTGACAAGACTGTGGAATGGGCTCCAGCGTGTGGGTTCTCAGGCTAGAATACCCGCCCCACCCCCAGGGCCCCATATGTGCACTCACATGGAAGAAGCCATAGAAGATGGCTTGGAAGACCAGGAGGTAGGGCGCATGGGAGCCCCTCGGTGGGCGCTGCTGGGGGCCCTGCTCATCCCGTTCCTTGTAGTGGGAGTACTCGTAGTACTTCTGGGCCATCCTGGACCACAAAGGAGAAGGCTTTCCCCAGCCCAACCTCTGCCAGACACCTCTGCTTCCTGCACCCAAGCTATGGGCTGGCCAGACCCTGCGCCTTATGGGTGGGGAAATGCAGGCCCAGAAGGCAAAAGGGGCCAATCCCAGGTCCCCTGGCCAAGGTTGGCAATGCAGCAGAGCTGGGCTAGGTCTCCAGCCTTCCGCCCTGCTATCCACCAGGCTCACCTGGTGATGTAGTTGCCCATGGAGGCCCAAAGAGGCACGATGGCCATGCCCAGGGCCACGGCTGAGGGCACAAGCGTGTAATAGCGTTCCCAGTAGTTGGTAGAGACGAAGAGGGCATAGATGCCCACACCCAGGAACATCATCCACTTGGTGCCAAAAAACCTGTGGGCAGTGGGAAGGATGCTGTTACCACGGGTTTACCAGGACTGCGGGGCTGATACCAGAGTGGCCACAGCTCTCAGGGACTCCTGACCTTGGAGTCAAGGACTCTGAGACAGTCTCAGAGATAGGGACTTGCTGAGTGGCCTCACGTGAGCCAGGCATCCATGCACCTGTTTTCACAGCTGTAATGTGGGCACAGAGCTTAAGCCACTGCAAAGATGGAAGGAGATAAAACGGGACGAGAGTGTCACCAGCCAGTGGTTTGTGGGCACATCCAGCCCTCATTTATGTTCTGGGCTGACTCACCAACCCCCTTCTCCACCCACGCTCACACGCTGGGACTGCAGGGCCCTGGCCTATGTCCAATGACTTGACCCAAACTGGCTGAAGGGAACGTAGGAGCAGAGCCAAGAAGAGGCTCCAGTGCTGACCGACAGCAGGGCTGGCCCCTGATGTCCCTTCCTCCCTGCCCACTGCTCTCGCAGTCCATGTGGTCAGTCAGAAAGGCTCCTCCTCACTGGCTCTGAGGAAATATCACACCGTGTTCGTAGGGGGTTGACAAGTGACAAGCTAGGGGGCAAGCTGGTCAAGCTGAAAACCGCCAAGATCTTTGTCTCGTTTTTTTAAGTATTTGTATCATTAGTTCCCTTTGGTTTCTGGGAAGCAAAGTGAAATGACCTTCCGATACAATTACTTTCTCTTCTATTACAGGGCCATGGTTCACTCAGCCAGTGGTCGTGCAGCTCGACACAGCCCCTGGGAAAATCAGCCTGGTAGTTTGGGCAAGGGGCACTCTGCCCAGGTTCAAGTCTTCAGTCTACCACGTGCTGCCCGTGGGACTTGAGCAAGCTGTTCAATCTCTTAGTTTCTCTGTGTCTAAGCTTAGAATGCCTACCTCAGATTGTAAGGAATGAGATAACACTTATAAAAGTGCCCAGCACTGCCCTGGCTGGTTTGGCTCAGCGGTTAGAGCGTCGGCCTGTGGTCCAGAGAGACCCGGGTTCGGTTCCCGCTAAGGGTACGTACCTCGGTTGCAGTTTGTCCCTGGCCCTGGTTGGGTCGTGTGGGTGACAACCTCTCGATGTGTCCCTTTCATGTCGATGTTTCTCTCTCTCCCTCCCTCCCACTCTATCTGAACAAAATATCAAAAAATGTTCTCGGGTGAGAATAAAAAAAAAAAAAAATCAGTGGAAAAAATATCCTCGGGTGTGGATTAACAACAACAACAATGAAAGTGCCCAGCACATAGGACAGGAGATGAGCCAGTGGTTGTTGTTAACAGCGATGAATTTGAAGAGCCCTACAGACTTTCATATGCCTGGGACCTAGGAGGGGCCCTGCTGGAAATTTATCCTGGAAATTTTCTTATTTTAGTTTTAAGAAGAAATCAGCTACAAAGCACAAAGTGAACATGCGAAGTGAACATGCCATGTGCAACTCTGAGCCAGCTGGGTGCTCGCAACTCTGCCGACCGTCCAGCATCACAAAGTGCCCCCTGGGAAGCAGGGGCCGGCCAAGGTGTGTGCAGGGGGAAGAAAGTAACAATGAATGTGGCGCACACACGCTCTGGGGACAAGGCCGGAAGCCCCACCCACCCAGTGCTGTGGGACAACAAAGGTAGCAGATTTACTGGAGGGCCTGGGAGGGACTTTCTCTGTTCTGATTTCAATTATGATTCTAATGCTGTTTGTGTAGCTGTGAATGAAGGAAGTTTTTTTTTTTTATCCTCACCCGAGGACATTTCTGCATAGAGCGAGAGGAAGAAAGAGAAAGAAACATCGATGTGAGAGAGACACATCGACTGGTTGCCACCCACATGACCCCAACCAACTGGGGCCAAGGACAAACCGCAACTGTGGCATGTGCCCCCAGAGGGAACCAAACCTGGGACTCTTGTCCGCGGGCTGACGCTCTAACCGCTGAGCCAAACCGGCCTGGGCAGAAGTGTGGTTTTTTTAAAGATAAGGGAACTAAAACCCATCTAGTTTGTCCGCTGGTCTCTGGGTCCTGTGTGAGCACAGACACACCTACCACATGGTGCTCAGGGTGCTCGTGCAGGGGATTTTTGCAGCGGCTGGGAAGCTGGACCAGATGCCTCCAGGCTCGGTCTAGAGCAGGCCCTCTGGGGCACCTGCCCAGCTATGCCCTTTCAGTGAGAAATGTCCTTTGACACCCAGCATAGCTGATTGGGCCAGGGGTGGGTGCCTGGGTCTTGCTGATTAGATTCTCTGCAGAGATTCTACAGCCCTAACCCCAAAAGGTCACTGTGGCTCCAGGCCACAGAAGAGGGCACGAGGACAATGCCACGTGGGTCACAGGCAAGCTGAGTGAATTTCGGTTGCTTGAAACCCAGTGTGCCCTGGGCAAGGCTCTCTTTCCTTCCCTGGACCTTCTCTCTCACCCTTCCGGGTAGGCAAGGCCTCTCCCAACTCTGCACCTCCCAAGACCACCAGGGCAGCCCCTGCACCCCTTCACGGTCGGGGGGGGGGCAGCCCAGCCCTTTGGGGACAGCAGCACACCTGATGAGCACAGGTGTGTAGAGGAGGGCTGCGATGGGTGTCACGTTGATGCCTATGAGCATCTTACTGTCGATGTCGGGCAGCCCCATGTTGCCGTACTTCACCTCCCGGTAGGTCTCGTCATAGTGCAGGACCAGCTGCATCTGCAGGAGACCTAGGGACAGGGAGCGCGCGGAGGGGGCGGGTCATAGTGCAGGACCAGCTGCATCTGCAGGAGACCTAGGGACAGGGAGCGCGCGGAGGGGGCGGGTCATAGTGCAGGACCAGCTGCATCTGCAGGACACCTAGGGACAGGGAGCGCGGAGGGGGGCGGGTCATAGTGCAGGACCAGCTGCATCTGCAGGAGACCTAGGGACAGGGAGCGCGTGGAGGGGGTGGGTCATAGTGCAGGACCAGCTGCATCTGCAGGAGACCTAGAGACAGGGAGCGCGGAGGGGGCGGGTCATAGTGCAGGACCAGCTGCCTCTGCAGGAGACCTAGGGACAGGGAGCGCGCGGAGGGGGCGGGTCATAGTGCAGGACCAGCTGCCTCTGCAGGAGACCTAGGGACAGGGAGCGCGGAGGGGGCGGGTCATAGTGCAGGACCAGCTGCCTCTGCAGGACACCTAGGGACAGGGAGCGCGGAGGGGGCGGGTCATAGTGCAGGACCAGCTGCATCTGCAGGAGACCTAGGGACAGGGAGCGCGGAGGGGGCGGGTCATAGTGCAGGACCAGCTGCCTCTGCAGGAGACCTAGGGACAGGGAGCGCGGAGGGTGCGGGTCATAGTGCAGGACCAGCTGCCTCTGCAGGAGACCTAGGGACAGGGAGCGCGGAGGGGGCGGGTCATAGTGCAGGACCAGCTGCATCTGCAGGAGACCTAGGGACAGGGAGCGCGGAGGGGGCGGGTCATAGTGCAGGACCAGCTGCATCTGCAGGAGACCTAGGGACAGGGAGTGCGGAGGAGGCGGGTCATAGTGCAGGACCAGCTGCATCTGCAGGACACCTAGGGACAGGGAGCGCGGAGGGGGCCTGGCTCGCCGGCAACCAGGCCGAGCAAGCAGAGGCTGTAACACTTGCCGAAGGCTCCCCTCTTCCAACGCCCGTGAGGACAGAGGGGGAAGCCAGGCTGGGCCCAGCGTCCTGCCTGCTATGGCAGCCTCAGCATCTTTAATCCCTGGCCCGGGCCACACCGCCTTGCTCCGCAGGTCTCTTGGACCCCAGCCCCCTGCCCACACATTCCGGAAGGCTCCGGTTGGGGCCCCGAGACCTGCAGTCTCACCCCACCCACGTGGTAGGCGGGAGCGCTGCAGCTGCGAGGTCAGCAGCCTGGGAAGTGAAAGAGGAAGAGAGGCCGACGGGCGCTAACGTTTCTCTTTCCCAGCCAGGGTCTGGGCGGGCGGGCGCTGGTGGGCCGAGGGACCCTGGGACCAGGCGCCGGGCGGCAGGTACCCACCCAGGTAGACGCCGTAGGTGAGCATGCCGCCCGCGCTGGCCGCCAGCACGTTCTTGAGCACGCCCAGGCGCTTGCGGCGGTAGTAGCGGCGCTCCTCCTCCTCCTCGTTGTAGTTGGGGTACGCGCCCACCAGCTCGTCCAGCTGCGGGGCACGCACGATGCTCGCACCCGTCCGCGCGCGGCCCCGCACCCCTGCCCCGGCCCGCGTCTCACCCCCGGCCCCCCGGGTCCCCGCGCCCTCTCACGGTCCCGTCCCCGCTCACCGGGGCCTCGGACCCGTCGGGAAGCCCGAGCCGGTCCTCATCGCCCTGCGGACCCACGGTCCCCGCCACCGGGTAGAGCGGCGGCTCTGCCATAGCCCGTCCCGGCAGGAGCACTGGTGGTGGCAGCCCCGCGGTGTCCCAGCAGCGGGCTGGCACTTCCTCCAGGGGGCCAGGACCTGCCTCCGCCCCGCCCCGTTCCTCCTCAGGGGCCACCTACCCCGGGAGGACGGCTGGGGGCGTGTCGTGTGTGTGTGTGTGTGTGTGTGTGTGTGTGTGTGTGTGTGTGTTAGAGGAGAGTGTCCATGTGCGGCCAGCTCCTCAGGGATGTGAGATGCTAGTTCAAATCCCCACTCAGCCACTTTCTGGCTTTGTGACTTTGGAAATTAACCCCACTTCTCTGTGCCTCAGTTTCTTCATCTGTAAAATGGGATACTGGACACAACTTTCAGGGCTAGCGCTGGATTATTGAGTTAATGCAAAGCCTTAGAAAAGTGCTAGGCCCGTAATAATCTCCCCTGACCACTGTCATCCTTACCACCTCCACACACCAGGCCCCACTCGGTGTGTTTGCAGGTCAGCAGAGTCCTCATAGCAGCCCCCAGAGGGCTCCTACCACAGGACTGACAGCCTGTGCCACCGCCCATGCACCTCCAGCTTCAGTTTGGGCCACTCTGAGGCGGAGATTGTGGTGGCTGCTGGACAGCGTGGAGTGACCCCATCGCCACCCTGCAGGAGGGCTCAGAGCCTCCCACCCCACCCCACCCTGGGCATTGCGTCCAGGGCTGCCAGAGGAGCCCATGAATTGCCAGCCTTGCCCGGGGGAGGCTCCATAGCACTGGCTGTTGCCCTGGTTAGAAACGCTTGGGAAGATTTTTAAACTATACACTTCCCGGAAGTCTCTTCAACACATGGCGTTAGAAAAACTGGATAAGCACATGCAGACAAATGGGCTTGGACCTCTGTCTTACACCGCTTACAAAAATTAACTCAAACAGATCAGATTTAAACATAAGACCCGAGACCATAAACTTCTAGAAGAAAATGTGGGGAAGAAGCTCTTTAACATTGGTGTCAATCTCCAAAATAAAACAGCCAGTTATTTTACCCACAAAATGGGTTTATTCAGGAATGGCAGAGGAATTGCAATTCAGGACATGCTAGCCATGGCCAACCTTAGGAAGTCTGGAGAACAAAGGGGGGGAATATTACTTTATAGCGAAAAAGGGTGAGTTGGGAGGGGCTCTCATAAACAAAATGTCCATTGGCGGAAACTGAGTTCTGAAATCTAGTAGCTTTCCATTGGCTGAGTCCTGGCAGTTTCACATTGGCTGGGACTGTTGCTTGCCAAGGAGAAAATCAGCCCTCCTCCCACTGGAGTGGTAAAGTAGGCTTCTTCCTATGGAGAAATGTAAGGGTAGACTTCTTCCTGTTGGAGTCTGCAAGGTGCAGTGAGTGGCAGTGTCCGAGAGCTCCCCCTTCAGGGCTTCCAACTCCATTTCATTTTTCATTTTATTATTTTTAAAAGTTTATTTTTCTTTATTGATATTTAGAGAGAGAGGGGAACAGAGAGGGAGAGATAGAAACATCGATGAGCGATAACATCGATTGGCCGCTTCCTGCATGCCCCTCACTGGGGATCAGGCCCACAACCTGGGCATGTGCCCTGACTGGGAATCCAACCCGCGACCTCTTGGTGCATGGGTCAACGCTCAACCATTGAGCCACACAAGCTGGGCCCAACTTCATTTTAAATGAGTTTTCCTTTATTCCTTTCCACATTGGTCTTGGCAATGATATTTTTAATATGACACCACAAGCACAAACAACAGAAGAAAAAAATCAACAAGTGGAATCACATCCAACCTAAAAGCTTCTGCACTGCAAACAAAACAATGAAGACATAAAGGCAACCTCCAGAATAGGAGAGAATATTTGCAAACCATGTGTCGATAAGAGGCTAATATCCAGAATGTATAAGTGCCTCATACAACTCATAACAATAAAAAGCAAACAATTAAATTTAAAAATGGGTAGAGGAACTAACTAGACATTTTTTCCAAAGAAGACATTCAAATGGCCAAGAGGTACATGGAAAGGTGTGAACATCACTAACCATCAGGGAAATGCAAATCACAATCACAATGAGACATCACCTCACACCTGTCAGAATGGCTGTCATCAAGAAGACAAGAGACAAGTGTTGGCCTGGACATAGAGAAAAGGGAACCATTGTGCGCCTAGTGGAACTGTAAACTGGTCCAGCCTTTTTGGAGAACAGTATGAACTATTTCTCTCCTGTGGTTTAATTGTCTGCCCCCCCCCCAAGCTTCTGCTCACCATGCACCCCTTATGCAGAAGCTTGTGTTGGCACTTAGTAGGTGCTCAATAAATGTGGGTGGCTGGACGAGTGAATGAATGCTAAATACCTATCCTAGAAGGGTTGCGGGGAATGTGGAGAGCTGGGGGGGTGGAGGACAGGCTGAGAGGTGATGGAACTTTCTCCAGACCACACCCACGTGCAGATATAGGTGAACAACACAGGTGGAATCATGCCAGAGGTGGGAGACATGGAAGGAGCAGGAGAGAGCGCGGGGCCCGAGGTCCAGGGATGCAATGATGCTGGGAGGCCAGGAGGCTGGGGGCCATGGTCGGAGAGTGGACAGCAGTGAGGACAAAGTCCAGGGTGTGTGGGGATGCGGAGGTACAGGAGGTCATGGGGCAAGTGGGGGCAGTGGACCTTGATGCCCAGGAGGATGTAGTCCTGTAGAAGCCATGGGGCGGGCAGGAGATGTGGACAGGAGGAGGGAAGGCTGCCAAGGTGGATGTGTGTCCTCAGGAAGTGGGCTTAATGCAGCAGAGGGTAGGAGGCCGGGGGTCCGTCAGCTCCGCAGGAGCGTGAGAATGACCCCTTGCTCCTCCCAGGAGTGCACCCCTCTAAAACCATCTTGGAAAGGGGACCCTTGAGCTGGGTGTAGACCAGCATCTCTGGTCTGTGAAGGAGCCCTTCCCTATGTGCCCCCTTCTCTGCTTGAGGCCACCAAGGAAAGAAAGGATGCAGCCACGTGCATTGGACAGGCAGCCCCGGCTCCTCCGGCTCCTCCAGCAGAGAACCCACGTGGGCCAGGGAGGAACAGGCCGGAGAAGGACCCTCTCACCATGAAGCGTGGTCCCCAGGGCATCCTCCCAGCTGGGTGCCGAGCTTCTCTGGGCTTTAGTGTGGGAGCCCCCTCACCTCGCCTGGTGGGCACATGCCATGGTATTCCTGGCCTGCGAAATAGGGATAAGGAGAAAAGCATTTCTGTCCTCTAAACACAGGATGGGGGCAGCAGGCTGGCGGCAGGAGGAAGAGGCACGCCCTGGAGGCAGAGCAGACCTGGAGGGACGGCTTCCTGGAGGGAGACAGGACAGGGGAGCTGTCTAGTTGCCACGGCATCGAAAAGAGGGCAGGCCCACAGAAGTACTGTAGAGGGAGGGAGGGGAGACGGGCGGCCTGTGAGGGGGCCAGGAAGCTCCCAGATGCTGCCTCTTGAAGCTGCACCTGAGAGGGGGCGGCATGGCGGGGTGGGGGCCCATCCTGGGCAAGGCGGGAAGAGAAATTCACAGACCCAGTGGGTGCATTTCGAGGTGGCCAGGTGTGTGGCACCCTGAGTGGGTGTGTGTTGTCCGAGGACGGGTAAAGGTCTCCAGGGTGGGCTGGTCTGCTCAGGGGAAGAAGGGACCATGCTGTTGAGCTCATTGGTTTTGTGTCTTCCACCGGAAGGGACCCCAAGATAAAATTTATCAGAGTGTTTTAAGAAACAGCCAGAAAGCAAAGAGAAGGTAGGAGGGAAGAGGTGGTCTGCCCCACAGAAGGCCCCACCAACACTGACGTGTCCCGTGTCTCCCATACCGACCCCACCAGCAAGACGTGACTTGCTCCACGGCATAGTAGCTACTTGTATGCTGACTGTGAAATTGCATGATTTCTCTGTGCTCACGCCCATGCCTACAAAAGAGGTTGCTCTACAGTTGAGGGTCCCAGAATTATTTAACTTATAGTCCTTGTTACACGTCGACTCCTCTGGTCCATTGGTACCATTTTACATTGCTTTATTAAGCCCTGGCCGGTTTGGTCAGCGGTTAGAGCGTCGGCCCGCGGACCAGAGAGACTTGGGTTCGGTTCCCGCTAAGGGCACGTACCTCAGTTGCAGTTTGTCCCCGGCCCCATTTGGGGGTCTTGTGGGTGGCAGCCACTTGATGTGTCTTTCTCACTTCCATGTTTCTCTCTCTTCCTCCCGCTCTATCTGAAGACAAATGCAAAAATGTGCTCATGTGAGGATAAAAAAATAAATAAATTGCTTTATTAAAATCAATTCACTTCAGAACATTTTCTGATAGCTTGTTACAAAGCCTGACATTATGGCACAATGGTTAATGACACTATTCTAACCTTCTGAAAAAAATGTATACACACACACACCTAAATAACCAAAAAATTCATTAAAAGAAAAAATACCTACACAAGCCCACCGGTGTAGCTCAGTGGTTGAGTGTCGACCCTGCACCAAGAGATCACTGGTTCGATTCCCGGTCAGGACACATGCCCAGGCCGTGGGCCCGAACCCCAGTGGGGGGCGTGCAGGAGGCGGAGAATTGATGTTCTCTCTCATCGATGTTTCTATCTCTCTCTCTCTCTCTAAAAATCAATAAAAAGAAAAAATATTTTAAAATAAAACACCGACACAAAAGACGAACATGAATGTCCCAAGGAGTGAGGAGTGACCGGCCTTGTCCGTGTTCCCACAAAGAGACCACACGAGTGTGAAAGGCACTTCCAACCCCAAGGGTCTGAAAGCGGCTGATGCTCAGTAACTCTGTCAGTCACCTACTCGGCACAGGCTCCGACTGGATTCAGCCAGCAGGCGGCATTGGCGGAGACTGGGGGGTTTCTCCCAGCAGGCACGTGGGCGTGGCTTGGCTCCTTCAGGGTCCCAGCACCCACAGATTAGGCTCCTGGATGACCCTGATCCTCTGCCTTCCACCCTCCAGCCCTGGGACTGTCTGTGAGCTGGCACTGGGGCACCAGACAGCTGGTGTGGCCTGCAGGACAGAGAGCTGACCACGGCAACTGGCCACTGACCACCCTGGTCTAGGCCGCAAACACCCACTGTCACATCCCCAGCAATGAACAGCCGTCTCTCTCTCACTATTTTCAAATGATTTTATCTGTAACAGATATTATTTTTTGTTCTCATTATGAAATAAGAGATGTCCTTACAGAAAAGCCGACAGGAGAGACAAATTGTGTCCCGATTCAAACACCCCGAAACCACAGCTCCTGGGACGTGGAGAGGCCAAAGCGTGTCACCCCTGCATCGTGTCCCAAAGAGGAGCGCGCTGGGCCCACTGCACACTCACCTGACGCTGCGTCTCGCGGAGGCGAACTTTGACCCTTTTCAAACCAGGTGCAGCGGACAGTGATCAGCACAGGCTGCTGGGATGCCGAGGACCCTGTCCACCACACAGCGGCTGCTGCTCTCAGCTGAGACATGAGGCTCCCGGGGTGACCCCCCCCAGCTCCTAAACAAGGGCCCGGAAGTCTGGTCAGGCAGGGCAAGACTCCCCACCGGACCTCTCACTGTGTGGCCCTGGCCTGGTCACTGCACCTTCCCAGCCTCTTGTCTCACTGGTAAGGAGGCATCCAACCCGGAGCAGGAGCGCACTGGCCCCCGTTCCTCCCCAGGAAACAGTGCCCTTCAGACTGGGGAGCTTCACTGCCAGCCCAGGCGAGGACCCCTGTGCCAGGAGGTCAGGCCTCACTGGTGACCTCCCGAATGTTCCTGAAGTCATGACAAGTTCAGGAGTAGCCCTGCAGGGGGAAATCCCTGGCCAGGGAGGTGCCCCTCAAGATCCTGCAACACCCCTGTCACTCACCAGTCCCTCCTCAGGGGGTCCCTGCTTTGCTGTGTGGCCCTAGACCGGTGGCTGTCCCTCTCTGGGCCTGATTTCTAGCCCAGCCCCAGCAGGAGCCAGCTCTGCCTCTGCCTGGCTCAGCTCCAGACAGCAGGGCTGGGCTGTCACATGCTGAGCCACGTGACAGGCAGCGGCTGGGGGCTCCATCCCACACAGAGGACGGGGCCTCTGCAGCCCCCGACCCCTGTCCCAAGTGACTGAAGTCTCCAGGGGCTAGCAGAGCAGGTGTGGGCGAGGAGACCTCTCCTGCCCTCCCAGGTAGGCAGAGGGGCAGGGAGGGCGAGGGTGGTGAGGAGCTTCTCCCAGGGGCTGGGAGGCCTACAGGCCACAGGCCAGGATCCCAGGCAGACCCAGGGCACCAAGGCAAAGGGGCAGCGGGGACAGCGGGGACAGCGGCAGAGGGCCCAGGGTAGCCCAGGTGATGGTACAAAGGATGCTCCTGCCCCCACACCTGTAACCTAATCACCTCCTGTGTGACACCAGCAGCTCCTGGGGATTCACCCGCTTTGTGTTGGCTCTGACAGGTGTGACGGGATGGAGGCCAGGGCAGGGCAGAGGATGGTCCCCCCGGCACTGCTCAGGCAGCTGAGGGGAGGGAACAGGAACCGCCACGGTGACACTCATCATCCTGACAGCTGCCCCAGAGGGCAGAGGGAGGCCCTCTTGCCTGGGAGTTGGGGGGATATCTGGGAATGGACGCAGCCCCCGGCCCCAGAGCTCCTGGTCAAGTCCTGTCCCCTCTCTGGGACTCCATTTCCTCTGTAAAAAGGCAGGTTGCTGGGAGACAGGCTCCGGGAGTGGTTGGTTGACAGAGCGCGGAGGGTGTGGCCCTGCTTGTGTTTCTGGACGCCAGCCACCTTGAGATCTGCTCTCTTCATTTTGCAGATGGGAAACTGACTCGGGTGGGCGGGCTCTCCTTGCCGGTCCAGGCCCCCGCCATGGTCTCTCCTTCTCCAGCTGGGCCTGGGTCCCCACTACCAGGCCTCGGGCTGGACCCCTCAGCTCCCAGGCCTGAGGGACCCAAATGAGGGGCTGACACTCCGCCACTGCATCCGGTTCATTAAGGGACTTACAGGTGAAGTGTGCTCGGGCAGCGCACGGTGCCTGGGCTCAGGGAAGGGCTGCGGAGTGATATGTGACAGGCCGAGATGTGGGGCCCCGGGGTGGGACCGTCCCAGAGTGTCAGGGAAATGCCGGACACGCATGCCTGGGGCCGGGCAAGGCCTGTTCTAGAACCAGCAGCCTGGGGCCAGGTCGAGAGTCCGTGAGACAGCCTCTGCGGGGGTTTAGGGGAAGCAACCCCGGTTCTGCCCGGCTCCAGCTCCAGAGGGAGGCGGCGGTGACTCTCACCCCAGGCTGCGGGCCAGGGCAGCCCCGCCCCGGGGGCTGGCCCAGCCCTGGACATTTCATAAGGCAGGGCAGCCACAGAGCAGGACACCAGAGGAAGGGCCATTGGCAGAGCCTCAGGTACCGCGTCCCGGGAGGGCAGGCCGGACAGCAGTCGGCCAGGGACCTGGCTGGTGGGCAGCCTCGGGGCGCGGGCTGCTGGCCGCCCAGGCAGCCGGAGCCACTCCTGGCCACATACACAGACAGGCTTTGTGCTCAGAGCTGCCTGTCTGGGAGCAAGGGGGAAGGGAACTTCCCTTCGGCGAGGAGGGAAGACAGGGAGAGGGAGGGACTGAGCAGAGGCGGGGTGGCCAGCGGGCACTCTCCTTTTGGCTGAGAGCTGGGCCACCATCCTTTCTCTCACTGGGGTCACACATCCTGTAAGGGAGCTCGGAGCCCCAGCCCTGCCCCAGTGGCCCCAGGAGGGAGAGCACCCCATCTCTGGACGAGCGGGGTGGGGGGGTGTTGTGTGGCAAGCATCTGCTTGGCCACACCCAGCCTGAGCCTGGAGCTGGGGCCGGTGTGCAGTGAGTGATTAGGAGACCGAGCTCTTGGGGGTGGACCCTGCCAGGCCCAGGAGGAACTGATTCGGGGGGGGGGGGGGCTTTGCAGGCAAGGGAGCGAAGGTGTAACCTCTTCCGGGGTGGGGCTGGGTGGGTCCCCAGCTCTCCGGGGCCCTCCTGGAAGGGATGGGGCAGCTGCCCAGAGCTTCAGGGACCTTAAGGAAACCCAGGTTACAGCCACATGGAGGAGATCAGATTGGACAAACTAGGGTGTGGGGACCTTCGAAGCTGGCCCGTGACCTCCGTCTCCGGCAGGTGAGGGGTCCCCGGGCACTGGGACCACCCGTCGTCTTTCTCAGCTCTGGGTCACAGGCTGAGTCCTTGCCTCCCTGGTGCTCACACTGGGTTCAGTCTCCCGGGGCTCCCATCCCGGTGTCCCCTCGCCGAAACCCCTGGGCATGGCCCTTTCACGGTCTGAATACAGCCGCTGAGACCTCGTCACCAAGCATCAAGGTCCGCCCTGCAGAGCATGGTACGCTTGTCCCAGCAGCACCTCGCGCAGCTACAGGTGCCATCCCATTTCACAGATGGGAAAGTGAGCCCCGGGCCTCCTAGCTAATCAATGGAGTTGCTGGGGTTCAAGGTCACTGGGCCCCTAAGCGTCATACTGGGAGGGCGCTCTTAGAGAGCCTCAGGTAGAGGTGAGGAAACTGAGGCAGGCAGAACGCGAGAACGTGCAGAGGTTGGGGGTGGGCTTGGAAGCAGGTTCTCGGTGCCTTGGAGCCAGCAGACCCGGGGGCCCACCTCACCGCTCCCTCCTCAAGTCCATGTGAGCTTTCTGGGCCTCAGCTTCCTTCAGGGGCACCGGGCGCTAGCTGCACCCACACTGGCACGTGCCTGGCACCGTGAGCACCTGGTTATTCTCATTAGAGAAATCCCCAGGCCTGTGGCCTTGAGGGGACCTGTTTGGTCCCCGCGGGCCTCAGGCAGGGGAAACAGGTCCATCCTTTAGCACCGTCCAGGGATTAGCAGCTCGGGGCCACCCCACCCACGCCCGGAGCAGCAGGCCCACAACAGAAATGGCTGAGCCGGCGGCTGAAGCCGGGACCAAGCCCACTGGGAGTGTCCGAGCCCCCAGACTCTGGCCTGCCAGCCCGGGACCTCGGCGTTCAGCCGGATGAGGCAAGAAGGGGAAGCTGAGCGCGGTTCATGGGGAAGAGAGAAGGGAAGAGGCCGAGGGAGCAGGGTACAAACCACACACCTTCCGTCCTAGCCGGTTGCCACATGCCACTGCCCGCCTGGTGCCGGCTCTGGGTTCAGGCCCGCCCAGAGGTGTCCCCTCCCAGGTCAGGCTGCCCTGCCCCTCGCCCAGCCGCGGGTGGCGGGTGGGGTGTGGGGTGCGCGGCCCTCTGTTCCTCTGGATTCCAGGTTTCAGGGTGAAGAAGCTGGGTGGCCTCGGGCAGCTCCTAGGCTCTGTGCCCGGCCCCCATCCCCATCGGTGGGAAGGGGGACAGTGCCCGCTCCAGGCTGTCCGGTGGTTAAGGAGTGACCCAGGCACAGGGCATGGATGCTGACTGACTTCCCTGTGAACTTAGGCAGCTCAGCTGTGCCGGGTGGGGGTGGGGGACTCAGGGAGCCCCCGCCCTGTCTGATGCAGGAACCAGCTCCTCTGTGGGTCCTTTGCGAGGTCACAGCCCCAGGGTCCCCCAGATCCCAGGTGGAAGGCAGCCTTGGCTTTTCTGCTTGCCTGGGTTGTCTCCCAGCGGCAGCTCTTGGGGGTCTCTGTCCAGGGTGACCAGCCCGCAGGGGACAACATTGGGTGAGTTTGCCTCAGTGTTCCCAGGAGAGGCTGCTGGAAGTTTCCACGCGGACCTCTACCCCCCGCAGAGCTCCCCACCTCCACCTCGCAGAGTGCCATGCCTGACATTTTTGTGGGTTCTGCAGAGACTCTAAGGAAAGTGCAAACAACCCGGGGGGCAGGAGGGGGTGGCGCTGTGCCCCCAGCACCCATCAGAAGCCTGCAAGCGAGAGCTGGGCAGAAGGGCGGGCGGGGTGTCTGTGGACGCGGAGGAGGCAAGTGACGGCCTGAGTGGGCGCACGTGCTTCGTGGCATCGCAGCCTCCACCCCCAGGACAACAGCGAGTGCTGCGTCGTCCCCCCCTGACAGACAAGGAAACTGAGGCAGAGCAAGGGTGAGTGACTTGCCCAAGGTCAGGCCATTAAGAGGCAAAGCCGGGGACAAGCCCAGGTGACGGCTCTGGAGGCCACGGGCCAGGGCACCTTCCTCCCAGGAACAGGGTGGAGCCTGGGGCCCCGAGGGGCTCTGAGACTCTTCTGCCACACTGCCACCCCAAGGCTCACGGTGCCTGGGGTCACTGCCCAGTTTCTCCCGGCCAGAGCAGCAGGTCTGTGGGGGCAGCTGGCCCCCAGCCACACCCGGGCGGATGGCCAAGGGCTGCAGCCAGCCCCTCAGCACAGAGTCCCGGTGGGCCAGGCCATCCTGTGGGCTGCAGCAGGCTTGGCCCTCAGGGCCATGGAGCCTTCCAGAAAACTGAGGGCCACGGTGACAGTAGCCACGGTAACCTAGCGGTCAGCCCTGGAGTTATGGATGCCCCGCCCTTGATAAACACCTTGCTGGCTGGCGGCGCCATCACACCCCCCAACAGAGGGGGAGAGTCAGGTACTAGGACCCCAAGGATGAGTGAGGCAGACCATGAGTGCTTGGCCTCTGCTGGTGAGAGGAGGGAGTGGGGGCCGAGGGGCAAGATTCAGGAGGTGGACAGGATGAAACCCAGTATGGCCCAGTGTGGTAGGGAGCAGAGCCAAGGGGCCACTGTGAATGTGTGTGAGGGAGAAACCAGGGTGAGCTGCCTGGAGGAGGCATCAAGCAAGCTGAACCCTGAAAGGAAGGAAGTCAGATAGGGTCCCCCAGGCCCTTAGCACCAGGCCAAGGGATGAGTGCATCAGAGTGCTCAAGTAAACAGGTGAGGGCACGGGGGAATGCTGGGGTCCTTCCCCCGCCTGCCAGCCCTGGCTGATGACAGCATGGGGGCACGACTGCCCCTTAACCCCTTGTCCCCACTGTCTCCTGCTCTTCCAGCTCAGCGGCTGGCCCAGGCGGGGTGGGCATCAGGGCCTCTGGGAGGCTGGAGTTCTTTCCCCGTCCTGTTGGGGAGCTGGGGAATGGGGAGAAGAGGCCACTGCCCTCTGTCACCCAGCCCTCTGAGCCACTGCCAGCCCACCTGGCCTCCCTGGGCAGTGCCACCCTGCTGTGGGCAGGGGGGCAGAGCATTCTGTCTGGAACGTCTCCAAGTGGTGGCCGCGGTGGCAGTTGGTGGACTGTCCTTCTCCTTATCAAACTCCTCTGGTTACTCCAGGACTGGCAGGGTGAGGCAGCTCCATGCCCAGGAGGTGCGCTGGACAGTGGTAGGGCCATGGCTTGGGGCTAATTTCGGTTTGGTCCCTGGCTGCCTGTCCACCCTTAGGGGCTGTGGAGTAACTGTCCCCAAGCCCACACCAGCCCTCAGGGTCCAGGGCTCTGCTGCCCACTGGCCAAGGGAAGTTGTCTGCGGGTCTGTCAGTGTGTGCCGTGTGTGTGTGTGTGTGTGTGTGTGTGTGTGTGTGTGTGAACATGGCCAGCCCTGGCCCTCTGGGTTACACGCGAGTCCCAGTGAGGGTGTCTGTGAGCCCACATGGGTGCAGGCAGGGATGAAGCGGGTGCCTTCTCAGGTGGGTAGCCCTGGCCCATGCTCCCCCTTCCTCCCCGCAGGATGGACCCCTTCGAGGACACCCTGGGGCGGCTGCGGGAGGCCTTCCGCTCGGGGCGGACGCGGCCAGCGGAGTTCCGAGCTGCCCAGCTCCGGGGCCTGGCCCGCTTCCTACAGGACAACAAGAAGCTTCTGCAGGAGGCGCTGGCGCAGGACCTACGCAAGGTGAAGGCGGCAGGTGGCGGGAGGCAGGGGAGGGAGGGCGGGACAAGGGTATGGAGACAGCTTCATCCTCCATGAGGTGGAACTAAAAACCCATCCAACTCCACCCCCTTCCCTGTGCTGTAACCCGCTCACCATTGATTCATTCATCATTCACTCACCATTTATTGAGCACATACTATGTGCCAGGTGCCGTTCTGGGATCTGGGGATGCAACAGAGACTAAAACAAAGTCCCTGTGCCCAGCAAGTTGGCCTTTTGACAAAACATGACAGTAAATAAATAATCACATAGTATGTTGATGGTAATAAGTACAATGGAGAGACACTCCCAGTGTGAAGGGAGCAAGAGAGGGCCAGGATCAGGGTGCGGGTCAGGGAAGGTTTCTCTGAGAAAATGGCATCTGAACAGAGACATAAAAAAGGAGGGGGAAGGAGCTACATGGATATGGGGTGAAATAGCAGTGAGCACAGCACGTGCAAAGGCCCTGAGGCAGGAGGTACTTAGTGTGTTTATGCTTGAGCAGCAAGGAGGCCAGCATGGCTGGAGTAGAAGCAGAGATATACAAAGATGAAGCCCAGGGAGGTGGGTCACACCACGCAGGACTCCATAGGCTGGAGGACTTCAGCTTCTCTTGGTACAACGGGCATCATGGCATCTGTCCAAACCCTGGAGGCCTGGGGGCTCAGCCCCTCCCCATTCCAGCAGCAGCCATGTCAGGACTCCAAGAAATGCACTTTCTTTTAGGCAGCCCCCCCCCCCCCCAGTTAACAGGGCCCACCTGCTTAGCTGCCCCTGGACAGCTGTCCAGGGTAAAAATGTCCCCCATGCATGTTGCAAAGGCCACAGTGTCCAGACCCATCCCTTCGTCCCCCTGCCCCTCACCACCTGGAACCCCGCGGGCCAGGCCTGTAACTGTCAAATGGCAAGATGCAGTTTTGATACTTAACACCTGAGAAGGGCCCACAGTGCATGTCGGCTGCCATCCAGCCCCTATGGTCACTTCCTGTCCCCAGGGGATAGCAACAGTCCCTGCTGGCTTGTGCTGAGTGCTGAGCTTGTCCGCCCTAAGCCCTGAGTATGTCCCAGGAAGGGCCTGGGGCCTCCTGAGCCCACACAGAGGACTCTGCACTGACCCCTGGGGTCCACCCCATAAAGCTCTGGGTCCACATGCTGCCTTCCCCTCCCCCACTTTTCCAAGGGACCAGCCGGCTCCACTCAGATTGTGGTAGAGACACTGACACCGGCAGGGCCAGGGGTCCCTCAGCAGCTTCCCTGGGACCCGCCCTAGTCACAGGCACCCAGCCAAGTGCCTGCCCTGTCCCTGGAGCAGTCCCAGACTTTGAGACTAGTGCCTAGGAGCATCTGGAGTCATGGACAAGGTGCACCCCCATTCCACAGGGACAGCAAAGGCCACAAGGACTTGTCCTGAGGATGGTGCCTCCTGGTCACACCTGCTCCCTTTCTCAGTGTCCCCAAGCCTTCTTTTTACGAGTACCGTAGCCACGTGCACCGGGCCCCCGATCGGCCTTCCGGAACCATCTGTTGTCCCTCTTAGGAAACCAGGGCTCCTGACCACACCCTCCCCAGCGCTCCCATCTCAAGGGGCTGGTTCTGCCACCCTGTGGGGAGTGTCAGTTCACTGGGCCTGGTGGGGGACTGGCACCCTGGTGAGCCTCTGCCACCACCCACCTGCTGGCCAGCTGCCCTTCCACGGGAGACCTGAGCCAGCTGTCTGCTCCCTTTCTCCCTCTGGCTCAGGTTTCATTCCCGCCTCCCACCCCAACTCCTAGTTTCCAGGAGCCCCGCCCTCCCAGGGGGAGACACCTTCCCTGCCCTGTTCTGCAGTCCTTAAACCCAGCAGTCTTCCGGGTAGGGGCCACACCTGGTCACCCCTAGAGAAGGCTCAGAGAGGGCACACAGTCCTGGCTCAAAAGAGCCTGCTCTTCCAATATCAGTTCAGGTGGATCCTTAAACCAGCCCACAGCTCACTCAGGCCATAGGTGACATATCAGATGCAGTGACCAGGCCCCACAGCTCACTGGGTGGGAACGGGGGCCACACTCACAGGGGTAGGGGTCATGCCTGAACCCTGCTCAGCTCCTAGAAGTGTTGGTGGGTGTGGCTTCCCCCCCAAGGCCCAGTGCCCTTCCTCTCAGGGCTCAGCCCTGGCCCTGGCCTTGCCTGAGCAGGGCATCCCCGTCTCTGGCCTTCGGTTCACTCTCAAACCATCCCGGCACCCCTCGGACCATTGCCCTGCCCTCTAGCAGGAGAGAGTCTGCGCTGTGACAACCAAGCCTCAGGCTCTGGTGTCCCTGACCATGGGCCTCATGCTGCCTGCAGCCCATGGGCTGGGTCTCTCCTCCCTCGTGGGGTGAGGCAGACACATGGAGACAGAGTCAGGACAATGTCCCTACTGAGGTTTGCCTCTTCCCTCCTGCCCTGGAAATCTGATGGTGATGCCTGGCCCTTGGGTTGTGGAGACTGATGGTATTTACCCCAGGATGCCTGTCCCCAGGGTCCCCTGCAGACTGATAACCACACAGCAGGCCACAGTGGGACACACAGACAATCATGTTAAAGCTTAAGCTAGATCCTGTCCCTGCTCTGCTTGACAGTCCTCACCCCGGGAGGCCTGGCCCCAGCGCCTCACCCACTCTGCCCCTGGCTAATCAGGAACAGAGCAGGCCTGTGCCTACCTCAGGGCCTTTGCACGTGCTATGACCTCTGCCTAGAATATTCTGCCTTCATATATTCAAGGGCTCCCTTCCTCCCTTTCTTCACTGCTCACATGTAACCTCACCCCAGAGGCTGGCACTGACCATACATACATGCACACATTCATACTCTCACACATTGACACACTCACTCTCATATATTCACACATTCACACACTAACTCTCACACTCACATTCACAGTCACACACACATTCAACACTCTTACACACACTCAAATACACATTCACTCACGCACACACTCACATTCACTCACACACACTCACACACATTCACTCACTTTCACACACATTCATACATTCACTCACACACACTCACACACATTCACAAACTCACTCACACATACATTCACACACACTCTCACACACATTCACACTCATTCACTCACTCACACACATCCACATTCTCACATTCACACATGCTCACTCGCACACTCATTCTCACACTCACTCACATTCAAACACACACTCACACATACACACTCTCTCACACATTCACACTCACACACATCCACACACTCACATTCACACACACGCTCACTCTCACACACACTCTTACACCACTAACTCGTGCACTTGCCCACACTTGCATGCTTGTTCACACTTGTGCACACACACACTCTCTATCCCCCTTACCCTGTCCATTTTACCCCTGCACTGTCTCTCCTAAGCAGCAGTCACTGTCATCATGTTGCCTGTCCGCCTGCGACGGCAGCTCCCTGGGGCAGGTCTCCCTCTGTTCCAGCCAGACCCCGGCTCCAGAATGACCCCAGTGCACTGAGCGCACTCGGTGCGCATGGAGAGAACGAACGAATGAGTCAGTAGGAGCAGGCCTTGCCTAGAGCAGGCTGTGCCGTCCCCGGCGCCGGCCCCCGCTGACACCCCCCACCCCACCCCCGCAGTCGGCCTCTGAGTCTGAGGTGTCTGAGATCAGCACCAGCCAGAGCGAGATCGACTTGGCCCTCAGGAACCTGCGGGCCTGGATGAAGGACGAGAAAGTATCCAAGAAACTGGTGAGTGGGCCTGGGGTAGGGGCAGGCATGTGGGGTTCAGGGTTGGGGCTTCCCGCTGGGCAGCCTCTGGGGTGGAGGGTGGTGCTGAGGGGCTGGGTCTCAGCCCCTCACAATTCACCACCACCCTGGCCTGGCACAGGCCGTGCAGCTGAGCTCCGCCTTCATCCGGAAGGAGCCCTTCGGCCTGGTGCTCATCATCGCCCCCTGGAACTACCCCGTGAACCTGACCCTGGTGCCTCTGGTGGGCGCCCTGGCCGCAGGTGAGGGCCCGTCTCCCTCTCCCACCCAGCCCCTCGCTGGTGGCCTCACGGGGCCCACAGAGCCACGGGGGAGCGGGTACACCAGGTGGCTAAGTTTGGCTGCATCCGGCTCACCATCCCCAGGCTGGGTGGGCTTGGACCCGCCGGCACTTCTCTGAGCCGATTCTTCACCTGAGGTGGAGTGAGGCCGACACCTGTGCTGCAGGTGTGAGAAGTGAATGGGGACCGGGAGAGCCCCCAGCCCAGCCCTGCCTGCCCTGCCCTGCAGGGAACTGCGTGGTGCTGAAGCCCTCGGAGATCAGCAAGAACACCGAGAAGGTCCTGGTGGAGGTGCTGCCCCGATACCTGGACCAGGTGAGCAGAGGCAGGCGGCCCGGTGGCCTGGCAGGGCCGAGTTCCAACCTCACGCCTGCCTTCTGTGGCTTGTGTGGCCGTGGCCAAGTCACCGCCTCTCAGCCTCGTTCCCCTGGTAAAGAGAAGGCTGGGACCACAGCAGTGCTCTGAGGGGCCCGTTTCCCAGGGGTCCGTGTCTTGGGGCCCCTTGTGCCCCAACCGTGGTTTCAGCCTCCTACCAGCACTGCCAGGCCCCAGACCTGTCCCCTACCTCACCGTCACCCAGCCCACCTAGAGCCCTGGCCAGGCCAGAGAGCAGGCCCAGGCAGGCAGGCCACCCGCGGGGCGCCCGGGCTGGGGTCCCAGGGGAGCCCGACGCCTGTCCCTCCTTGCAGAGCTGCTTTGCCGTGGTGCTGGGCGGGCCCGAGGAGACGGGGCAGCTGCTGGAACACAAGTTCGACTACATCTTCTTCACGGGTGAGAGGCCTGCTGTGGGCGGCTGGGCCAGCGGGTGCGCGAGACGAGAGGGGTGGCGGCCCGCACCTAGCCCCGCTCCACGTCTTGTGTGCAACCCTGAGGCCACACAGCGCCAGGACAGATGGACAGCCGGAAGGACTCAGAGGGGCAAGCCCTGGATGGTGCCCTGGGCTGCAGGACAGCTGGTCCCTCTCTCCTGGAGCCTAGGAGAAGCCCTGGACCCTTGGGAGGACTGGGTCCCCACCCCGGCACAGGCCCCTCCCCCAACTACAATCTCACAAGGCACCACTGTGTCAGGCGCTTACACAAGACCCCCTGCCCCCTGGTCCCTTCCGACAGGCTGGACAGAGGAGGGGTCAGAGGCTAGAGGGACAGAGATTCGGTGCCCAGCCTGGACTGCCCACTGGCCAGGGTTGGAGGAGGGTGGAGTTTGCTCCCAGACCCCGAGTCAGAATCAATCTCAGTGGTCACATGCCATCACTCTGGTGGCCCAGACGCCACCTGGCTTCAAGTGACCAGGACACACTTTCGAGAGGGGATGACAGGGCCGAGATGCGGGGGCCACATTACGCGGCCAGGACCCTGGAGGAGGGGGCAGCGGCAGCGGCAGCGGCTGAGCCTTCCTGCAGACCACCTCCTGTGTCCCGAGCCTTGTCCACCTCAGAGGGGATGTGCTATCTCTGCCTTTCTCCCTCGGACCCTGGCCTGAGCTGATGTGGAGGGGCAACTATGGAAGCAGAGGGGCCGTCCTGGGCTGCTCCTGCAGATTTAGGGGTGGGAGGGGCAGGAGGCGGCGGCCGGAGGGTGCTGGCCCACCCTCACCATCATGCCACACAGCTCGATGGCTTTGGGCCTTGGCCCCCAGGACAGAGGGGACAGAGGCAGGGGGACTCAAGAGGCTGGCCTCTGACTGGGTACCCAGGGCAGCCTTGCAGAGGCCTAGAGACCAGCCGAACCTACTCCGCCAGGCCTTGGTTTCCTTATGTGTAGACAGGACCCATCCCTGTCACCAGTCTGTCTAGAGGAAACACGAAAGCTTTTGTCTTAGCCGTGGCCTGGGAAGCGGCCATTCATTTACTCACTCTGGACAGTCCCTGAGAATGCAGACCTGCCCAGGCACCGCAGGGCACTGGTGGGGAGACCGCAGTGGAATTCAACATTGGGGTGGGGGTCAGGAAGTTCTCACAGACAAGGACAAGTTTGCAAAGAAAGGAGGAGCTGAGGGAGGAGCCTGGACCCTGGGGAGGGAGCAGGAGGAACCATGAGCAGACTCAGTGGGCTCCAGGGACAGTGGGGTCAGGGAGAAAGGCCAGGGTCAACCCCACAGAAATGGCAGCGAGAGACCCTGGGCCAGGCGTGGGCGGGAGTATCTTTTTTTTTTAATCCTCACCCGAGGATATTTTTCCATTTATCTTCAGATAGAGTGGGAGGTAGGGAGGGAGAGAAACACTGATGTGAGAGAGACACATGGACTGGCTGCCTCCCATACGACCAGACCAGGGCTGGGGATGAACCGCAAGCCAGGTACGTGCCCTTGGACTGAATCGACCGCGAGACTCATTGGTCCGCGGGCCAATGTTCTAACCGCTGAGCCAAGCCGGCCAGGGCGGCAGGAGCGTCTTAAGGCCCGGTGGGGAAGGGTGAGTGGAGGAGAGATCTGTGAGCCCAGGAGAGCAACCCTGAGGAGGTGGGGACAGGAGGGGCGGCGTGGGTGGTGAAGGTGGCAGGGCTGCCAGGCTAGGTCAGAGAGGAGCGACCCAAATGTCCCGGCTCCAGCTGGCTCCGGCCTCGGCCTCAGGCGAGAGGAGTCACTGAGGGTTCTGGAGGACGTGGAGAGGTGGCGAGGGGCACAGCAGCATGTGGGGGAGACACCGGGGACGAGCCAGGGGTCAGAGCAGGGAGAGCAGGTGGGGGGACACATGCAAGGTCCTGTTGGTGTGGTGCCTGGCAGCCCCTTGACTCACCTGCCTCTCCAGGGAGACACAGGGCGGAGGTGAACCCCCATTAAAAAGGTGCCAGTCCTCGGGCCGAGGCCTTCCCACCGAGTCCAGGTGAATGAAGGTCACCCCGGGATTTTTTTCATGTCCAGGGAGCCCTCGAGTCGGCAAGATTGTCATGGCCGCAGCCGCCAAGCACCTGACGCCCGTCACACTGGAGCTGGGGGGCAAGAACCCCTGCTACGTGGACGACAACTGCGACCCCCAGACCGTGGCCAACCGCGTGGCCATGTTCCGCTACTTCAACGCTGGCCAGACCTGCGTGGCCCCCGACTACGTCCTCTGCAGTCCCGAAATGCAGGCGCGGCTGGTGCCCGCTCTGCAGAGCGCCATCACCCGTTTCTATGGTGAAGACCCCAGGAGCTCCCCAGACCTGGGCCGCGTCATCAATGAGAAGCATTTCCAGCGGCTGCAGGGCCTGCTGCGCTGTGGCCGCGTGGCCATCGGGGGCCAGAGTGAGGAGAGTGAGCGCTACATCGGTGAGTCCCCCTCTCCCGACCGCGGGGCCCCGCTGAGGCCTCTTCACGCTGGAGGCACAGCTGGGCCCCGAGGCTCCCCAGCCCCGCTGCTGGAGCCCAGCGGGGTCCGCGGCTCTGGCGCCTCGATTCCATGACATGAGCGCTACACGCTGCTGTGGTCTGAGCCTGTGACCCCATGACCCCACTCTCTGGGCCAAGCCCTGGCTTCTCAGCTGGGCCCCAGTGACCCAGGGCTCCTGAGTGATGATTCCCAACCTCCATCTGCTGCCCCGCCGGCCGAGACCCAGGTGCTGGGAGCCACGGTCCCCGTCCCGAGCACCCACTGGGCTGTCCTTACAAAGCAGCCTGGCCTCTGGACCACAGGACTACGGTGACGCTGCTGCCCCAACAGGCTGGGACCTGGGACCTTGGGCTCCAGGGGTCTGAGGTCCAGTCACCCCATGACTGTAAGACCAAGGCTGGGGGTTCTCTGGGCCCCAGGTCCTGGTCACTTCTCGGGGGCTGTGGGGAGACACTCCTCCCTAGAACATCCCGAGCCTGGAGCTCCGGGTCCCTGGGCCCTGCCCGAGGCCCCAGCCCTGGGCTGAGCGACCCCCTGTGCCCGGCAGCCCCCACGGTGCTGGTGGACGTGCAGGAGACGGAGCCGGTGATGCAGGAGGAGATCTTCGGGCCCATCCTGCCCATCGTGAACGTGAGGAGCCTGGACGAGGCCATAGACTTCATCAACCGCCGGGAGAAGCCCCTGGCCCTGTACGCCTTCTCCAAGAGCAGCCAGGTGGGGGCTCGCGCAGGCCCCAGTAGGGGCCAGACAAGTGGGGACAGGTGCTAGCAGTGGACCAAGGGACTTAGGGGGAGGCAGGGGTCCTGGTCCCTCTGGGCAGTCACAGCAGTTCCTGGATGGCAGTCATCTTGGTTCTGTCTCTGCCCTTCTCCCGAGAGCAGCTGTGCTCCCTCCCCCTGCAATCTAGGCCACACTCCCCAGCATCCAGTGTCCCCCCTCAGCCCTGCCTCCATATCAGCCTGGTGGCTGGTACCCCCTTTCAGTGCCTGGCTCACAGAAGCACACACATGGGCTGGCATGGGGAGTGAACAACCAGGACACACAGGCCAGGAATGAGCCCCGCCCACTCCAGCCCCTGGGGGCAGACTCAGAGCCTCAAGGGCAGGCATCCCTAGCTCAGAACACACCTCCCCTTCCAGCCAGCTCTCCTGAGATCCCTCGCAATCTAGACAATGTTTTGTTTTGTTTTTAATTTTTTTTCCTTTATTTTTAGAGAGAAAGAGAGAAAGAAAGAGGGAGAGATAGAAACATGGATGAGAGAGAACATCAACTGGCCAGCTCCTGCATGTCCCCCACTAGGGACTGGGCCCACAACCTGGGCATGTGCCCTGACCAGGAATCGAAGCAGGACCTCTCAGGCCATGGGACAACGCTCAGTTCATTCAATGAGCCATACAAGCCAGGCTAGACAATGTTTTCTTTTTTTAAAATAGACTTTTCATTTTGGAATAACTAGATTTACAGAAAAGTTACAGAGTTAGCTCAGGGACCACACCTCCCATCCCCAGTTCCCCAGTGAAGGGCCCTTTCACGGGTCAAAACTACGAAGGGGACACTGGCATGTTGCTGTTAACTGCACTCAGCTCTGGTGTCACCAGTCTTTTTCCTGTCCCAGCATCCAGATCAGGGTCCCACATTGCACTTGGCTGTCACGGCTCCTCTGGCCCGTGACTGTCTCAGCTGCACCATCTGAGACCTGCCCATCCTGTTTTCCACTTCCTTCCTCTCTGGTCCACACAACACCTCAGGCCCATCTCTATTCCCTCCGCCCAGCCCTACAATCAGCCGTCCCTCCAGGAGCCCTGGTTGGTCTGGGTGATGTTCACTTTCGAAAGCACAATGCAGGGCTTTTGGAACGGCCGTCACCTGGCATAGTGGCTTTCAAACTTTTCTGACTGCCCAGCCCTGGTCCTAGGATGTAGTGACACCTAAGACTCATGTCTCACCCAGGTCGTGACTGCTGGTCTCTATGGACCTCTGAGCCCACTGATGGGGGGTCCACTCTGCCCACTATCAGACAAGCCCTGACCCAGCCGTCATCTGAAGGTCACACACTGTAACTAAATATAACAATTTAGTGTCTACTTATCCTTTTCCCTCCTTTTTCAAATAAACCTCTAGACCAAAGAGGAAAGGGCTTCCTAAAATCAAGCAAAGGCCAAGTTCATTTTTCTAAAATACCAATCTGAGCACCTTCCTGTGCTACACACCACAGTCCCCCTAAAGTCTGCTTCCCTACCCCTTGCCTCCCTACCTGTCTTACACCTGAATGGCTCCTGCCCCTCTGAGACTCAGCCGGCACATCACATCCCTCTCCTGGGAAACCTCCCTGACTACCTGCTCTGCTCTCTGCATGTCCCCAGGCAAACGCTGGGTTCCCACCTCCCCTTCAGCCGAGTCTGTGCCCAGCACCCTGCACATGAGAACAGATGCTCAGGAAACGTGCCCTGAGTTGGTTGAGTTTGGTGGCTGGCTGCTGTACAACGCCCTCCACCTGACCCACCCCCCCTTCAGGTCACATGGTGGCCTCAGACCCTTCCTGGGGCCCTGGCGGGGCTGGGCAGAGCCCCTGGGCCCACTCGGCCTCATTGCTGCTTCTTCCCAGGTGGTCAAGCAGGTGCTGGCCCGGACCAGCAGCGGGGGCTACTGTGGGAACGATGGCTTCATGCACCTGATCCTCCACAGCCTGCCTTTCGGAGGAGTGGGTAGGTGCTTGCAGAGCCCTGCATTCTTAACCTTACTTGATTGATGCTCCCCTACAGAGTCTGGACAGAACCTTCCAGACCTGCCTCTGCACTGACTTATGTATCTAGGGGTCTGTCTGGGAGTGAATCTGATCCTTCTACTCTCAGTGAAAACCTCCCAGGCCCCTTGCAATCAAGCCAGGCCCAACTCATAGCTTCTGGAGGCGGGCCCTTCCTGATCCAGCTGTGGGGTCCTGCTCTCGCCTCCTTTCCCAGTTTCCCTGCCTGCTGCCCCAGCCAGAGGTCTGCCCAGGTCCAAACATGCCACAGGGCAAACACCTCCAAGGCTCTGGGTCCCCCTTCCCCACACCCACCCTCTTCATGTGGTCCACTCCACATCCCTCAGGTCTTACTCGCTCCATGAAGCCCTCCCTTATTACCCCCAACTCCACCAGGCTGGGCCCCTGGACTTCTCAGTGCAGAAGCTACCTCGCCCTTGACTGCCTCCCTTGACTTAGATGCTGAGGACTCATAACGATACAGCACTTTCTGTGTCCATGGGTCTGAGCACTTGCCCAATCCCCCACAACTCTAGGAGGTGGGTACCACTGTCACCCCATGTCACAGAGGAGCAGACCAAGGCAAAGTCACCTGCCCAAGGTGACACAACTGGTTCAAAGCTGAGGTTCAACCCTGGACAGTCGCTCAGAATCCACATTCTTGACCACCGTCTACCTGTCTTAACCTAACACCTGGCATGGCAACTGGTGTCTCCAAAGTTTATTGAGCTGGTGCCAGGCTCAGGGCTAAGCCCTTTACCCACTCTCATGATGAGCCAGCCCACTTTACAGACAGGAAAACCAAGGCCCGAAGGGGAGAGGTAGCCCGCCCAGGTCGCAGTGTGTGACTGGCAGAGCCCATATCCATCTGCTGTCACCTCAGCTGGCCACTGAGGGCCTGACTACCATGTTCTGTGCCACTGTACAGGTGGCAGCGGCATGGGCAACTACCACGGCAAGTTCTCCTTCGACACCTTTTCCCACCACCGTGCCTGCCTGCTGTGCCCCTCTGGGATGGAGAAGATTTACTCCATCCGCTACCCACCCTACTCGCCACGCAACCTGAGGATACTGCTGATGTCCATGGAGACCCGCAGCTGCACCCTGCTCTGATCCTGCCTCAGGCACTATGGCACCAAGTGCCCCTCCTGGCTCATGTCTGAGTCCTCTGCTGTCACCCGTGGCTGGTGGAGATGTGGCCTAGGATCCAGGGCACAAGGAGGAAAACACCTGCCAAGGCCATAGCCCAGCCCAGTGCTTGCCCTCCTCCCTCCCAGGGCTCCCTCTTCTGGCCCTCAGCCTCCTCCCTCAGCACCCCCGCCCCCCAACTAAGATGGGCTAAAGTGAGGGATCATTGGAAACCTCCACGCTGGCCTCCCATGTCCTGGGAGAGGGCAGACATGGGCACTGCCGAGCCACCCGCTTCCTGTGCAGAAGGGTGCAGATTTCCGGTCCAGGCCACATCGTGGACTTTTTAAAAAAATCCTCAACCAAGGATATTTCTTCATTTATCATCAGACACGGTGAGAGAGAGAGAGAGAAACACCGACGTGAGAGAGACACATCACCAGGTTGCCTCCCGCACGACCCAACCAGGACTGGAGATGAACCACGACTGGAATCGAACCTGCGACTCATTGGTCTGTGGGCCGATGATGCTCTAACCGCTGAGCCAAACCGGCCAGGACCACATTGTGGACTTCTTGTGACCCGGGCCATCCCTGTCCTGAGCTGCTCCCCATCTGCACAGTGGAGATGACTAACAATCAGTGTCTCAGGTGGTTGTGAGATTAAATTTGGAAGCTTAATAAATGCGGCTTGCTGACCCTGAGCTCCAGACATCCTGTCTCCTTGTTCAAGTAGGGTGAGGCTGCCTCCCTCTTCTCTCTCCCCACCTTTCCCTTCAGCTCAGGCTTCTCAGGAGCTCTGGACACACTGCTGTCCCCCAAGTGGCCAGCCCTGGGCACCTTACCCGTCCCACACTGGACGCCTATTCCCTATCCTGCTCATCCCGGGGCCCCGATGCCATGGAACGGTCCCCCATACACTCAGCCACAAAGCCCGACTCACCAGCCTCCTGCTTGACACCCCCTTTCATCTCTCCCAAGTCCCACCTTTCAGCAAGTGCCGGTGATCCTACAACATCACACAACTTCCCTGATCCACACGCTAATCACTGCGCTCAGGGCCATCATAACCCACCCTGTCCCCGCAGGCCAGCCCTGCTCCTCGGCATACCCACTGACCTTCCCAAAGCTCCCCCTGGACCCTGCCAGCCCTCGGCCTCAAACTCCGCTGGGGCTCCCTGTGGCCCACAAACCTGGGCCGGGACAGTCCCTGGGAAGCTCTGCCATGGCCCTGTGCCCGCACCCTGGGCCTGTCCTCGTCCTCTTCTAACGCGTGTGACGTCTTTTTTGGTCGGACCTCGGCACACATGCTGGACGTGCGCGCTCTCGGCCCTACCTGGCCTGCTCAACTCCTACCCGCATTCAGCTCGAGCATCAGCTCCTCCAAAGCCTTCCCTGACCACCTCCCACTCCCCACACAGGCAGGAGGCCTCCGGGGCCCTCTCGGTGTCCGCAGCCTCCGGTGTCCCGCCACACAACTCACGAGGGGAAACTCAGGTTGGGTGGCTGACGGAGGGCCGGGGCTCCCGAGTCATACACATCCAGGCGCGGTTCAGGAAGCTCTGCAGTCGCAGCTCTACGGCTTGGGGAAAGTTAACAAGTTCGTGCCTCAGTCTCCCCATCGGGAAAGCGAGAATAACCGTCCCTCCACCCAGGGCTGTTTTACGGATTAAATGAAGACGCCTGGGTGAAGTTTAGCACCGAGGAGGCGCGACTGCTGCACAGAATTACCGCCGGGAGCGATTCTCGCCACCAGGACCACACACGCCCCACGGTGGCCGACCCGGAGCCGCTTCTTAAACCACGCCCCGGATGTCCCGCCTCTCGTGTCTCGGAGTCCTCGTTTATTGGCCTTTCCAATACAACATGGCGGCGCGCGACATAACTTCAAGCGCCTGCTCTTCCCTAGCCAATCAGAGGAAAGGTGTTTCTGCATCCCGCCTTCTTCGGTTGCGCCACTGGCCAGTCAGAGCACACCATCAAGAGTCAGAACGGAGAAGGCAAAGCCAGCCGGTCCAATGGCAGCGTCCCAGGGCGTAGGCTCCGCCTCCCGGCGGATAGGCCGCTCGGCAGGGAAAGGAGCGGCAACGCAGCAAGGTGGGTGTGCGGGGCTCCGCTGCTAAGGCCGAGAGCGAGCAGCGCGACTTCGGGAGTGAGTATAGCGTCCCTGTTGCTCTTGCTGGCTCCGCGCCTGGGCCTCATCTCGGCTTGTTCGGGATCCGCGGTCCCCGTGACCTTGAGCGTGCAGCGGAGCGACTTCGATGCTGGCGTTCTCAAGGCGCATGCGCCTCCTCCTTCCTTGGGGGTCAGAGGTCATGGGGAAGGTCGAGGAAGATACTGGGTCAGGCCCACGGCATAGAAGTCAGTGGTCAAAATAAATGGACCCGTTAGAGGGCACAGGTCACGGAGGGGCAGTCTTGAGCTTACCGCTAAGTGCCCTGCTCTGGGCTAAACCCTTAACATGTAGGAGCTCCCTTCGTTCTTAAGACCACCCCTCCACCCCCCATTTCTCCTATGCGAAAACAGGCCAGGTGACCTCACCTGCCCAAGGTCACTTGGCAGTCTGAGAGACAGTTCCAGAAGGGCCTTGATGCTGGGGGAAGGAATTTGTTCTTGAGGGTTATTTAAACCTCTCGACTCTAGAGGTTCTCAACCTTCCTAATGCCGCAACCCTTTAATACAGTTCTCATGTTGTGATGACCTCCAACCGTGAAATTATTTTCGTTGCTACTTCATAACTAATTTTGCTACTGTTATACTTGGGCGACCCCTGTGAAGGGGTCGCGACCCGCAGACTGAGAACCGCTGCCTAGAGGGTTTCCAGCAGGGAAGGGCTGGGGATGTAAAGGGATGGGTCTGGCCTGGGTTCAGGTCCCGTCCCAACCTCCTAGTGTGTGACTTTGGGGAAATCACTTAACACAACCGTGTAAGGAATCGGGGGCACCGCCGAATAAAACAGAGAAGAGACTGGAGAGCCAATCAGCCGAATAAACAGGGATCAGGCTTTATTGGGTACACTCCGGGCGGGTTCACAGACTCCGGGGGTCGAGTCCTAGAAGCCGCGCTCAATGTAGGGGTTTGTGTCTTTTATATCTGCCTGTTGCAGCTGGAATTTGTCCCTTAGGGTTTGGCCCTGCAGGGGCTATGCATGGAGCCTCTGGAATGTGAATCGATAAGAGCAAGATGGGAGTTAATCTACAAGCTCGAGGCAGGCCGTTCAGGGTGGGAGGCGAGGCTGAGCCAGGAGACAATGGTCGAGCACTTTGCCTGGCGCCAGTCCCCAGGCTATCGGACAAACCGAGCTGCAGGCTCTCTTCTGTGCCTCTCTCATGGGGTCCTCATAAGGACAAAATAGCAGTGCATGGTGCAGTGAGCTCCGGGCAAGGCTGGTGGCTGCTGGCAGTGCTGTTTGGGTCAGATTTAGGAGGATGAATAGGTGGGGAGAGATGGGAGTCAGGAGCACTGGTGGGGGAGGGAGGAGGAATGGATTTTAAAGATTTCTTAGAAAGTGAGTTAGGTGGAACTTGGGATCTATCTCAGGCTGGGCCGAGTCCCATTGGCGGGCCGAGACGTGCATCATCTGGGGACAGGAAGGCCATCTGTGCCTCTGACGGGAATGGGATAAAGTAGGGGACAAGATGACACAGGTGACCCTGAGATCAAGGGTCGGGGTTCCTGCAGAGCCAGAGTTCCTTGGGGGGGGGGCCAGGTCTGGGACCGACCACACCTCCCTCCCTTTTTATCCCCACAGATGCACTGCCTGACTACTACACCTGTGCTGCTTCGGGCCCTGGCCCAGGCTGTTCGTGCAGGTAGGACCAAGGGAGCCTTTCCTGAGTGCAGGGGAGCCCAGTGTCCCCGCCTGAGGTCGCAGCTGCACAGCATAACCCCTTTCCTTGCAGGGCATCCCAGTGCCCGGAGTCTCCACAGCAGCGCAGTGGCAGCCACCTACAGTGAGTCCCAGGGTGCCTGGACCCTCAGGCTTTCCTGATCACGGGTTCTGCCAGAGGAGGGGGAGGAGGCCCGGCTTTGCCAATAGCTTCCACTCTCTGAGCCTTAGTTTCCACTCTGTAAAGTGAGGATGCCGGTCCAGATTGAATATGATTCACAGGAACAGAGTCTCATGGCAGAGTGGAGGGCCTTCCCTGTGGCTACACAGTGTGATCTCAGCGCCCCTGTGTGGGGCAGGGAGGGAACGGCCAGTTGTGAGCCCCGAGTGCCCGTGCCTCTTCATCAGGACCCCAGCGCCTAAGCCCCTCCCCACGCCCCTCAACTCCTGGCCTCAGATGCCACACAGGCACAGGGAGAGGGATCGAGGACGGCCCAGGGTCAGAGGCCCAGTTTGGGAAGGTTTGGTGAATGAACAAGCCCCTGGGGCAGGGGCCCAGCTGTTGCACCTGCCAGAGGGGTGGGGGCCTCGTCTCCCTGAGCTGTACTCTTGGCGAGGGAGGTGAGGCCGTGAGACCCACTGCCACCGCCTTTCTGCACGTTTCCCCTGCAGAGTATGTGAACTTTCGAGAGCCCTCCATGGACATGAAGTCAGTGACTGACCGGGCAGCCCAAACCCTGCTGTGGACTGAGCTCATCCGAGGTGGGCCCTTGTGGGAGGGCCAGAAGGGCTAGGGTGGGCACCGATGGTCAGGGATAAGGGGCCTCACCCACCATGCCCATGCTGCTCACAGGATTGGGCATGACCCTGAGCTACCTGTTCCGGGAGCCAGCCACCATAAACTACCCATTTGAAAAGGGACCCCTGAGCCCACGCTTCCGTGGGGAGCATGCACTTCGACGATACCCGTCCGGGGAGGAGCGCTGCATCGCCTGCAAGCTTTGTGAGGCCGTCTGTCCCGCCCAGGTGAGCTCTGGACCTCAGACCACCACTGCAGCCCCTGCCGCTGGGAGGCGGAGGCCGCAGCCCCTGCCGCTGGGAGGCGGAGGCCGCAGCCCCTGCCGCTGGGAGGTGGAGGCGCAGCCCCTGCCGCTGGGAGGTGGAGGCGCAGCCCCTGCACTGGAGGTGGAGGCGCAGTCCCTGCACTGGAGGTGGAGGCGCAGCCCCTGCACTGGAGGTGGAGGCGCAGTCCCTGCACTGGAGGTGGAGGCCGCAGCCCCTGCCGCTGGGAGGTGGAGGCGCAGTCCCTGCCGCTGGGAGGTGGAGGCGCAGTCCCTGCACTGGAGGTGGAGGCCGCAGCCCCTGCCGCTGGGAGGTGGAGGCGCAGTCCCTGCACTGGAGGTGGAGGCGCAGCCCCTGCCGCTGGGAGGCGGAGGCCGCAGCCCCTGCCGCTGGGAGGTGGAGGCGCAGCCCCTGCCGCTGGGAGGTGGAGGCGCAGTCCCTGCACTGGAGGTGGAGGCCGCAGCCCCTGCCGCTGGGAGGCGGAGGCCGCAGCCCCTGCCACTGGGAGGTGGAGGCGCAGTCCCTGCACTGGGAGGTGGAGGCGCAGCCCCTGCACTGGGAGGCGGAGGCCGCAGTCCCTGCACTGGAGGTGGAGGCTGCAGCCTGCTGCTGAGAGTTAAGCAGGGCAGCCCTGGGCTGGAACTCTGGCCCCGCTGGGTGTGTGTCCCCAGGAAACACTCTTTCCCTCTCTGAGCCACTTCTCCCTGTGAATGGGAACCAGGAGGTTTTGTCACTGGGGCCAACTCAGAGTCAGTGCGTCAGTGAGTCAGCAGAGTAAGCTAACCCTGAGCAGACCACAGGACCCAGTGGGTCCTGCCCTTAGGGGTCTGGTCAGGGATGTGAAACCAGGCCTGTGAGCTGCAGGGTGGCCCCTGAGGGTCTCCACTTTCCCCAGACACAGCAGCAGTTTCAGGAGCCCTGCTGTGAGCCTGTCACAGGGCCAGACCCAAGGACACAGACCACAGTGGAGGCCCTCACTGCGCCTGACTAATGCTCCCTTGAACCCCAGTGTTTGGTTCTATTGAAGGGTCCCCCGTGGACCCCTGAAGTCAGGTCTGTTCATGTAGAAACAAAGACAGTCGTGACAGGCAGAGCTGTGGCGTGCCCAGCAGGAGCCCCACAGGCACACCCCTTCCCAGTAGCTGCCCCAGAGCACGTGTCCATGACTCAGGATGGCTCCTTTCTGTGTCCTAGTACATCTCCTGGACTGTTTCCAGTCCAGCCACCAACCTAGAACACAGAAGAGACCCAAAATAATAACAGTGATGGCTCCCAGGGAGCGAGTGCCGTCCCCAGACCAGGCACTGTGCCAGGCTCCTGACTTACCTTTTTTTTTTTTTATCCTCACCCAAGGACATTTTTCCTTTTTTTGTTCAGATAGAGTGGGAGGGAGAGAGAGAGAGAGAGAGAGAGAGAGAGAGAGAGAGAGAGAAACATCGACGTGAAAGGGACACATTGAGTGGCTGCCACCCGCACGACCAACCAGGGCCAGGGACAAACTGCAACCGAGGTATGTGCCCTTAGCAGGAACCGAACCCGGGTCTCTCTGGACTGCAGGCCGACGCTCTAACCGCTGAGCCAAACCGGCCAGGGCTCATGAGTTACCTTTACAACAACTCTAGGCAGCAGAAATTATTATCCCCATTAAAACAAATTTTTTAAAAAAAAATTTTATTTTTAGAGAGAGAGGAAGGGCTAGAGAGAAACATTGACTGGTTGCCTCCTGCACATCCCTTCCTGGGCATTGAGCCAGCAACCTGGGCATGTGCCCTGACCAGGAATCGAACTGGTGACATTTTGGTGCATGAGATGATGCTCAACCAACTGAGCCACACTGGTCAGGGCTAGCCCCATTTTTATAGAGGAGGAAACTGAGGCACAAAGAGATGAAGCTACCAGCCAAAGGTCCCACTGTGAGTGGTGGGCATGTGAGGGCCTTTGCCACGCGCCTTGAAGGTCCTGGCTGTGGGAGCCGCAGGCCACCCGTTTCTCCGGCTGGCGCAGGCAGTACCCGGAACTGAGAGAAAGATGCCCTTCGAGCCTGGGCTCTGCCCTCACTTGCGGTGCAGCTTTGGGAAGCCCCTCAACCTTCTGAGCCTCTGTCTTCTCATCCATCAAATGTGGAAAATTAGACATAAATGGGAGGGTTGTTCAATGCACGGCCAGTAGAACTGGGCACCTGCTGCAGGCTGGGACCCTCGGCTCCGGGTGCTGTAGAAACAGACGACAGCCCTCCTCTCCTGAGACTTAGGTTCTCCAGTTAGCAAGCAGACGAGAAGAATGTCACCTAGGGAAAATGCTCAGAAGAAATCGACAAGATATACGTAACAGGCGGTCTGCTGGGAGAGAAGTTGGGAAAGGCGTTTCTGGGCTGAAAGTGGTGGCGGAGGGTCCGATCTGTAGGCCCCCCCAGGGATGAGCCCCCACAAGGGGGCAGGCATGTGCAGACTTGGGGGTGGAAATGAGCAGTAAGCGCTGGACCCTGGGCTTGGAGCTGGGTGAGGTTGGCAGCTGGCAGTGCCCTGTGCCACTCCCCAGGCCATCACCATCGAGGCTGAGCCACGGGCTGATGGCAGCCGCCGGACCACCCGCTATGACATTGACATGACCAAGTGCATCTACTGTGGTTTCTGCCAGGAGGCCTGCCCTGTGGATGCCATTGTCGAGGTGAGTGGGCCCTGGGGTGGGGGAGGCCTGGGCAGAGGCTCCTTGGAGAGACCTGAAGTGGCCACACCTGTACCCCCACCTGCAGGGCCCCAACTTTGAGTTCTCCACGGAGACGCACGAGGAGCTACTGTACAACAAGGAAAAGCTGCTGAACAACGGGGACAAGTGGGAGGCCGAGATCTCCGCCAACATCCAGGCCGACTACCTCTACCGGTGACGCCCCACCTGGCTGGCCCGCAGCCCCTGCTGCCAATAAAAAAGCTCTGACCTCCCCCGCCGCCTCTGTCATGATCTGCTGTCCAAGCCAGGGTGACCACGGCCTGTGGGTTCCTCCGGCTCCCTCGGGGCCCAGCTGAGCCCGCCAGCTCTCCTTGGGGACCCCTCAGGCCCTCCTTGGGGCTGGGCTCCAGGCGTTTCCCCCAGGGCTCGGCAGGCCTTCATCAGCTTCGGCCTGCTGTTCCCAGGATCGTGAGTGTCCACAGGCTGGGTCCTGGGCCTGCCTGTCCTCAGGGCTACCCACAACTAAGACCCGAGGGACATAGAGCCTCCCACGGGCTCAGGCCAAAGTACATCAATGGCAGCACCTGAGAAAGGGCTGATTGTGGAAGGTCATGGGGAAACTTGTCCTGGGGTTGACAGTCATGAGATGGTGACACAGGTCCTGCTGCCCCTGAGCTGGTCTTGCCTCACCTCCAGCCACATCCTCTTTTCTCCCCAAGTTCCCCAGACTGAGCTGCTGGCTTGGCTTCTGCTCAGGATTTCCTGCTTTGTGATACCAGCAAAGTGGTCTGGTTCCCTCTGGGCCACACACCAGCCCCGTGCCAGTGGAATAGCTAAAATGGCCCCTTCGAGTTCGGGCTAAGCACTAGGAGCATTTCCTTGTGTTCTCAGCAGCGGGGAAACCGGCTCAGAGAAGTGAAGTGATTTGCTCAGAATCACACAGCCGACATCCCGTGGAAAACTAACTGGTCTGAGCGCTCAGTGCCCCCTCTTCATCATTTCCTAAAGTGTATTTTACAAAGCATTAATTTCCCAAGATGCTTCTCGGAGGGAAGTGGGGAGGGTGTTGTGTGGGAAATCTCTGAGTGCCCTCTGCATTCTGTGACAGACACTGCATGTTAGCAGAGTCAAGGCTCTGAGAAGGCCTGCAAAGATAACAGCCTTTCCCCAGATCACTGCTGGCCCCTGGGCCAGGCTGGAGCCCACTGCTGGCCAAGGCTTTGGGGCCTCAGGTTAAGGAACAGAGCCCAGAAGTGAGAAGTGCAGGACCCAACCAGAAGCCTGCAGCCCAGGAAGTGTCCGAGAGCCCAGCCCACTGCTAGTCCTGGTGGCAAAGTGCTGCAAAAACCGGCAGTTCCAAGAGGCGGACCTAAAAGTCCCAGATTGCTTCTAGTTTCACTTTCCTGACAAACAGCATCAGAGAATTGGCAGGAGCCTCGGTTGGTACACAGATAACTAGAATACTTTTATTAAACGGGCCAGACTGTCCAGCTCCGGATACGAGTCTTTCCCCTACTAACAGCTGTTTTCTGCATCAGGACTGCAGCTCTAATGCCCCAGCAGTGTTGACCTGAGACAACCCCCCACCCCATACACATACATGGTGTACTGAGTTTGGTTGTGTTGAAGGTCCCTTCTGGAAACAGCCCTATGATGTTCCAGAACATATCTCTACTTTTCTTGGATGCTGACCTTGGCTGTGACTCAGTGTCCAGTCCCAGTTCTGGGGTTCCATTTGCTCACCTCCCCACCCCTCAGAGGCCCTTGCATAGCTGAGGGGCCCTGGGCCCTCTGAGCCCTAGTGGATACCGTCGGCTTGTCCGAAGTGAGGCAGCTGGACAGCTGTGAGCTCCAGTTCAGGAGCGCCGGGACCTGGGGAACCCCGGGAGCAGACCAGCAGTGCCGCTGGGGCACCCCAGCAGGGGGGACGACAATTACGTGCAGAGCATTGCCCAGCACCTGCTTGGGAGCAGGGCCCTGAGTGGGCCAACAACCGTGGCCTGGCCCTGGATGTTCTGCTGCCATTGAAGAAGGAAGCCCTGGGAGGGGCAGCCATCACCCAAGGGCACAGAGCGCTGGTCTGCCAGGCCCCTCTGCTGGCAGGAAGGTGTCCGGACCCCGTGTAATTGAGGCCTCACAGGAGAAGGAGGGGGTACGATACGTGGGGAGCGTGTTGGTCTTGGACCCTAGGTGGATCTTGGCCCCAGGCCTAAGGGTGTTGGGGTCCCATCAGCCATCGGCCCAGAGAGCCCTCTGAATGGTGGGGGCCCCATTCTCTAGCCCCCAAGCTGGGCCTGGGCTTGGGTCCTCCCCCAGCCTGGCCGCTTAGACAACCCTGGTTAGAGCCACTCAGTGTCTCTGCTCCTGTCTCGGGGTCTCCACGCCCCACGCCCATGATGGCTTTCCAGCCTCGGTCGAGGAAGCAAAGCCCAGGAGAAGTCACAGCCCAGACGCCAGGGCTGGGGGCGGGGCTTGGCTGACCCCGCCCCTCAGTTCCGCCCGCCCGCGGAGCAAAGTGAGTTGCGTGGGCGCCGGGGCGGGGATCGCAGAGCCTTGGAACGCGGAGAGCGAGCAGCGCTGCGTGCCGCTGAGCTGGGGTGAGTCCCGCGCCCCGTGTGAGGCCTTGCTGGAGGCCACCGGGGCCGCTAGGAAGAGGAAGAGGAGGATGGGGTGTTAACAGCTGCTAACAACTGCCGAGCCCAACTCTGCCAGGCCTGGAGGCACTCAGAGCTTCCCGCCCTGCAGCTTGCCCGAGGGAGCGCCCCATTCTACAGATGAGGAAACTGAGACCCACCCGAGTGGGAAGCAGCAGAGCTAGAGGCAGGCGAGGTCATTCTGAGTCCAGAGCCTGCGATTCTGGAACGGAGGAGGGCCTGACCTCTCCCTCCAGCCCGGCTCATCCCAGTGTGCCAGGGGCTGGGAGGAGAGACCTGGTGGGTTCCTGCAGGAGCTGGCCTCAGCCTCCAGCCTCCCGAGGGGCCGGGAAGAGAGGAGGGTCCCACAGAGAGGAGTGGGCTGGGCCCTGAAGGCCACAGGACAAAGGCACCTCCATTTGCTCCTTAAACAGGACAGGGGTGGCCCCTGGCTGGGACAGGGGCCAAGGAGGATGAGGGGTAGGTATTGACCAGGGAAGGGGTCTAGCCAGGTTTCTACATACCCATGCCCACCACAGCTTATCCCATCCAGGGAATGCCCAGGCACGAGGACCCCGTGAGTCAGGACCCCAGGCTGTATTTGCCACAGCCGCTGCTTAGGGCTGCTACCCCCCATGAGTCCCCAGACCTGGCTTCCTACGGCCCCCCATTTGGCCAGCTCTTCCTTTCTGGGTGCCCAGGGCAGAAAATAGCTCTCCCCTGAGCACATATTTGGCTCTGGGACTCCCAAACCTTCAGCCCGGCCTGGCTCCTGCCTGACTTGGCCACCTGCTGACCATGTGATCTTGAACCTCACCTCTCAGTTGACCATAAAACGAGGCTACAGTGCCTTCTCCCTTCAAGACTGCTGTGAAATTTAAATGAGATAGTGTGGGTGAAGGGATTACACGGGGGCTCGGTCATCTCCCCATCCAGGTCCTGTCTCTGCTGGGGGTGGCCAAGTCCCATTTCCCCAAAGAGGAAGTGGAGGCTCAGAGAGGGCAAGAGACTCCCCCAAGATCACACCGCCAATCACAGCTTGGGCAGGGCTCCTACCAGTGGTCCCTGACCCTTCAGGAACGGAACCCAGCTCCTCCTACACGCCCATCCTGACCAGGGCCGGCTTCTGCAGCCTTGGGCTGCCTCCAGGGCATTCTCTCCTCTCCTGGCGGACCGGACTGCATTCCCTATTTAGACTTAAGTAAACCAGGCCCCGGGGGGAGGAAGTGACCAGTTGGGCAGGCCCCACCGGCCCAGACAGTGGGCCAGGCACTCTGGCGCCAATCCTTCACCCCCAGTGGGGGCCTAGCTTGTGCCTGCCTCCTCCCTGCAGTTTGAGAGCTAAGGAAAGTGAGTCCCACAGAGGGAAGTGGCTGGCCCTGGGTCCCAAGAGCAGTGGCCACAGAGCCCTGGCTTGTGGGTGGGAGCATCTGCAGGGCCCGTCGGAGCCACCACGGCCACCCGTGCCGGCGACTGAGCAAGGCCTGGCCAGACCCTCCAGGCTCATTTTCAAGTTTGCAGTTTCGCTTTCAAGTTTAGACAACCTGAAAGGCTGCCCCCGCCCATACCCACAATGCCTATAGCCACAATGGCTGCTGCCAGGCAGCCCAGGCCTCAGGAGAAGGGCCCCCATTCATCGGTGTCCCCTCTGCTTTCTGCCCTTCCTGAGCCCCGGGAACCCCGTGCAGACGCCCATCCCCTCGGCACACGGTCATGGCGGGAGGGAGGAGGGCTCCAGCTGCCTGTGGGGACAGGCCCGACCTACGCCTGGTGTCGGTTGTCACCGTTGCTCCCTGGGATAGAAAGACAAGGACCAGTGAGGGCCGGGGCAGCCAGGAGGCCACTGCTGGAGGCGACCCTTGGCCTGCGGCCCCAAGGATGAGTCGGCTCCAGGGTAAGGGCAGGTCGCAGAGCAGGGACAGTGGGAGCAGAGGCCAGGGATGAGAAGAGCCACTGTCACCAGGAGCCACCAGGGTGGAGGGCAGAGGTCTCAGACACGGCAGAACGGGCGAGGAAAGAGCTTGAAGTTGGGCTGTGGGTCAGGATGTGGGGTTACTTACTTCATATGTGACCTCAGCACCCTATCGCACAGTGGCCCCCGACTGAGCCCCGCCCCTGCCCGCCCCACAGAACCATGGGCTCCATGTTCCGGAGTGAGGAGGTGTCTCTGGTCCAGCTCTTCCTGCCCACAGCTGCCGCCTACACCTGTGTGAGCCAGCTGGGCGAGCTGGGCCTCGTGGAGTTCCGAGATGTGAGTGGGGCTGGGAAGGGCTGGGAGGGGGCCCCTCCTCTCCTAGTGGCCCGGTTCCTGCTGGACTCCCGCAGCCCGGCCCCAGATGCCCTGCTCTCAGGAAGGGCAGGTGTTCTCACGGCTGAGGTCCCCTGACCTGGCCCAGTTCAGCCAGACTTTCTGGGCCCTGCTGGGCCCTCCTTGGCTGTGGGGTCTGCTGGAGGTTCACGGTGTACCTAAGACCTTTGTGGGGGAAGCAGCTACAGCTGAGGAGAGCCTGGGCCTGGGAGTAGGGACCTTTCTGGCCCCCACCCCAGAAAACTGAGCCCTGCACACCACCTCCACAGCTCAACGCCTCAGTGAGCGCCTTCCAGAGACGCTTCGTGGTGGACGTGCGGCGCTGCGAGGAGCTGGAGAAGACCTTCAGTGAGTCGGCCCGGCCCGCATCCCAGGCGGGCTTCTCGGAGGAGGAGCTTAGTCTGAAAGGGGGGGTCTGGGTCACCCAGGTGGAAGACAGAGAAGGGAGGTCCAGGCTGGGCCCTGCAGAGCCAGGACAGGGCATCTGTGGAAAGGGGTCCCTCCCTTCCTGGGAGCAGAGCAGACGGGTGAGCTGAGCAGAGGGCCTAGGGCTGGTTGGAAGGAGCCTTGAGTACTCCGAGGGCCCAGGAATATGTCCAGTGGAGCCACCATGGTTTCTAAGCACGAACAGAGTTTCCCCTGGTGCAGATGAACTGTGGTGGGCAGAGGCCAGGGTCCAGGGTCAGGTGCCCCCAAGGAGCAGCTCCTTCTTAGACCCGGGCAAGGGGACCTCGGCTCTGGCACCTCTCTGGCAGCCCCTCCTGGAGGAGCCTGCGGGGTGGGAGGACCGTGCACGCTGTGTAATGGTCTGATAGCTTGACTGATGGCGTGTAAGTCAGGCAGGTAGTGGGTGGGCCTCCACGCAGGCTCATGTCCCGAGCCCTGCAATGCTAGGGCCGGCCTGCCTGGAGGACCGCGGTGGGGCCCAGGCCCTGGGCTGCGCCGGGGACAGGGGCTGGAGAGGGAGCGTAGTCTGCCGAGCTCAGCAGAAGCGGAGCAGACCTGTGAGTAGAGGTGTGGCCTGGGGTTTTCCTGGGGATTTCAGACTCTGAATCAGTTAGCTGGTGGCCAGTGGAGTTTGGGCTGCTTGAAATCCCCTAGACATTAGCCAGCCCTTGGCTGACAGTGGCCATTAGCTGGTTGGGGCTCCTGCGTGGTCTCCCCTGACGCCCATCCCTCTGCACCCAGCCTTCCTGCAGGAGGAGGTGCGGCGGGCTGGGCTGTCGCTGCCCCCACCCGAGGGTAGGCTGCCGGCGCCCCCACCCCGAGACCTGCTGCGCATTCAGGAGGAGACAGATCGCCTGGCGCAGGAGCTCCGGGATGTGCGGGGCAACCAGCAGACCCTGCGGGCCCAGCTGCACAAGCTGCAGCTGCACATGGCCGTGCTGGGCCAGGGCCAGGGCCCCCAGGTCAGCCCTCGCCCAGAGGGGCGCAGGGGAGGGGGGGTGCCCACCCCACTGGGCCCGGCTCACAGTGCCTCTCCACTCTCAGCTGGCAGCCAGCCACACAGATGTTCCCTTGGAAAGAACACCCCTGCTCCAGTCCCCGGGGGGGCCGCACCAGGACCTGCGGGTCAAGTAAGTGGGGGGCAGCGTCATACTCTTTCCTGTCAACCGTCATGCAGGGGCCAGGCCAGGCCCAGCTTGGACTCCTTGTCTAGTGCTCTCCCTCCTCCTGCCTCCTCCTCAGGCCGGGAGTTTTCCTTGCTCGTAGGGGTTTCTCCTGCTTGGGCGCAGCCTGGTGGCCTTGCCTTCTCCCTGGGGGCAGGGCCTGGGGTGGCCTGGGGTGGCCTGGCAGGGCGGTGCAGGGGGAGGCGCGGCTCACCCCGCCTGCCCCCTGCAGCTTCGTGGCAGGCGCCCTGGAGCCCCACAAGGCCGCCGCCCTGGAGCGCCTGCTCTGGAGGGCCTGCCGCGGCTTCCTCATCGCCAGCTTCAGGGAGACGGAGCAGCAGCTGGAGGACCCGGTGACGGTGAGTGGCCGGGGACACCCAGGCTGGGGCCCCGTGCTGGGCAGAGCCCGGACTGCAGGGTAAACCGGGCCCCACTCTGGCAGGGTGAGCCTGCAGCGTGGATGACCTTCCTCATCTCCTACTGGGGCGAGCAGATCGGGCAGAAAATCAGGAAGATCACTGACTGGTGAGCCCTTGGGGGGCTGGCCACCTGCTGCCCTTGTGCCCAGGCCTGCTGTTCCCTCCAGGGAGCCCACTCTGTCCTGGGGCTGCCCCTGCCTGTCACCCTGTCCCCGCCACTAGCCCACCCTGCCACCTGCACTGCCCTGTGAGCCTCCAGCCTTCACACAGCCCCAAACCCGGGGCCCACTCACGTCACCCGTCGTCCTCCCTGCCAGCTTTCACTGCCACGTGTTCCCGTTCGAGGAGCAGGAGGAGGCCCGCCGGGGGGCCCTGCAGCGGCTCCAGCAGCAGAGCCTGGAGCTGCAGGAGGTGGGCACCCACCCGGGCCTGGCCGGACCACGCCTCCCCTCCCGCCCCACCTGCCTGCTCCCCACTCCCGGCTCCCCCGCCCTCCTGCCTGCAGTTCCTCACTCCCGCTCTGGCCACAGGTCCTGGGGGAGACAGAGCGCTTCCTGAGCCAGGTGCTGGGCCGCGTGCAGCAGCTGCTGCCGCCCTGGCAGGTGCAGATCCGCAAGATGAAGGCGGTGTACTTGGCTCTCAACCAGTGCAGCGTCAGCCCCACGTACAAGTGCCTCATCGCCGAGGCCTGGTGCGCCACGCGCGACCTCCCCACCCTGCAGCAGGCGCTGCAGAACAGCTCGGTGAGCCTGGTGGGCTCTGCCACCCTCCCCTGCCCCTGGGCAGCGGCCTGTGATTGCCTCACAACACACTTCCCGTTCCCGGTGCTATGCCTTTGCCAGGGCTCCCCCTCCCCCGGGGAGTCCACCCTGATGGCCCTGGCCCAGCAAGGCCACCCCCTGGCTTCCCAGAGCCCCTTGGGTGGGTCGTCAAACCTTGGCTGCTGCAATCGCGTTAAATCAGAAACCAGGTTCAAATCCAGGCTTCAAAGGCACTGGCCCTGTGACCTCAAGCAAACGAGGGAGCCTCAGGCTTCTCATCTGTGAAATGGGTGCAAGGACTCTGCCTCCAGGGGTCGCTGTAATGTAAACACATCCACAGGCTGCTGGTGCCTAGTAGGTGCTCACAGGCGGCAACGGGGCTCCCTCTCCCGGGCCACCTAGATGAGCAGCGCAGACTTCCATTTCCCAAGGACTCTGGGCCAGCTGGTTTCTGGCTCTCCCTAAATCCTCCTGAATGGGGGCAGGTGGGACTGGTCGGCCTGCTTCACAGAGAAGGGAGGGTTCGCCCCGGGACCCCCAGTGCTCCCCCAGCCAGCCCCCCCAGCGTTCTGTGTCTCCATCTGGCCTGGCTGGGGGGGCTGCGGGTCCCCGAAGACCCTGCCACCAGTCTTGTCTCTCCGCCTGCCTGCCGGATGTCCCAGAGTGATGAGGGTGTGAGCGCGGTGGTTCACTGCATCCCCTACCGGGACATGCCTCCCACGCTCATCCGCACCACGCGCTTCACGGCCAGCTTCCAGGGCATCGTGGACGCCTACGGTGTGGGCCGCTACCAGGAAGTCAACCCCGGTGAGAGCCACAGGGCCACCGCTGTTTGGTGGAGGCCTGGGAGGGCGGGGTCCACACTGGGCCTGTCCCGTCCTCCGGAGATGAGAGGCACAGTCCCCGTCATCCCCGTCACTCTGGGGCAGTGTGTGGGGGGTGTTCAGCATCCCCCAGGCGAAGCTCACAAGGGGGCCGCAGGGTGGAGCCGGGAGCAGCGGCCCTGGGTAGGGGCGGCCGCGTGGAGGGCTGACCGCGCACCTCAGTGAGCGCTCTGGGGTCAGACTCGGAGCCGCTCTGGGAAGGGGCACAGCCGTCGGGGGTTGCAAACCAGCAGTCCGGGGCCAGAGTGAGCCTGCCGGTGCCCTGTTTGGCCACACTGTGCTTTTGAAGAAGTTTGAATCAGGTGCTGCCCCAGAGCCTGGGTTCAAAGCCTCTGTGGCGTCTTGCACAGAGTGGTGTTGGCTGCAGGGTCCCGGCTGACCGCAGGGCCCCTCTCCCGCAGCGCCCTACACCATCATCACCTTCCCCTTCCTCTTTGCCGTCATGTTCGGGGACGTGGGCCACGGGCTGCTCATGTTCCTCTTCGCCCTGGCCATGGTGCTGGCCGAGGACCGGCCAGCCGTCAAGACGGCGAAGAATGAGGTGAGGGCGCGGGGCGGGGGCGGGGCGGGGGCGGGGCCGGGCCTGTCTCACAGCCTCCACCCTCAGATCTGGCAGACCTTCTTCAGCGGCCGCTACCTGCTCCTGCTCATGGGCCTGTTCTCCATCTACACCGGCTTCATCTACAACGAGTGCTTCAGCCGCGCCACCGTCATCTTCCCGTCGGGCTGGAGCGTGGCCGCCATGGCCAACCAGTCTGGCTGGAGGTGAGGCCCGCCTGCCCCACTGTCCCTGGGTCCCCGCCACCCCCAGTCCCCACTGCCCTGACCACCCTGCCCGTTGTTGCCACAGTGACACCTTCCTGGCCGAGCACCCGCTGCTCGCCCTGAACCCCAACATCACTGGTGTCTTCCTGGGACCCTATCCCTTCGGCATCGACCCTGTGAGTCCTGGCTGCTGGCCCTGGGTGCTGCAGGCGAGCGGGAGGGCAGCCCAGTTCTGGTGAAGGATGCCGGGGGCCCCAGACAGATGAGGGGCCTTCTTGCTGGACCCTCCCTGCACAGAGAAGCGTGTCATGGTGACAGCAGCGTCACCGTGGAGCCCCCTCTGTGCCAGGTGCTGTTCTGAGCCCTGTATGTGCAATGACTTTATATTTGGTTTCTGTGCCAATTCCACAAGGCACGCATTAGCATCATACCCATTTTACAGACGAGGAAGATGAGGCACAGGGTCACCCAGTTAGGGGGAGCCGGGGTTGGGCCCCGGTTGTCTGGCCTCATCTGTGCTCTTAACCAGTGCTCCCCGCTGCCTCTTGGGGGGCAGGTGATAGATTGTGCTAAGGTCCCAAAAGGGACAAACAGGAGGCCCCTGCATGACACCCACCCCTCCTGCCACCCCAGATCTGGAGCCTGGCCATCAACCACCTGAGTTTCCTCAACTCCTTCAAGATGAAGATGTCCGTCATCCTGGGGGTCACCCACATGGCCTTCGGGGTGGTCCTAGGAGTCTTCAACCACATGTGAGGGCCCAGGCTCTGGTTGGGGAAAAGTGGGGACTGCGGGGCCAGGGTGGTCCAGTGACCCTGCCCTTGTCCCGCCCCAGACACTTTGGCCAGTGGCACCGGCTGCTGCTGGAGACCCTGCCCGAGCTGATCTTCCTCCTGGGCCTGTTCGGCTACCTGGTCTTCATGGTCATCTACAAGTGGCTGCGAGTCTCGGCCGCCAGCGCCGCCTCCGCCCCCAGCATCCTCATCCACTTCATCAACATGTTCCTCTTCTCCCGCAGCCCCACCAACCGGCCACTCTTCTCTGGACAGGTGGGCTGGGTGGGTGAGCGGGCTCAACCCCCTCACGGGGGCCCCGGTCACTAGGCGCTCAGAGCTGCCGGATCCTCGTCTGAGATATGAGGATGCAGGCCTGAGGCCATGGGACAGAGGTCCAGGTGGGAGGTGGGGTTGCACACCTGGGGTCCCGGAAGCCTGTGCCCCTTCTCCGAGGATTCCTTGTGCAGTGACGTCCCTGCGTAGTGAGGGCCCCGGGGGAGGAGCAGACTGTGGGCCCCCTGATGGAGCCCTCTCCCCTGCAGGAGGTGGTGCAGTCTGTGCTGGTGGTCCTGGCCCTGGCCACGGTGCCCGTCCTGCTGCTCGGCACGCCCTTGTTCCTCCGCTGGCAGCACCGCCGCCAGGCAAGGTGGCGCACTGGCCAACTGCAGGTACAGGAGGTGTGGGCGGGGCCTGTGCGGGAGGCGGAGCTGCTGCCAGCCTGAGACCTCCCTCCTGGAGACTGGCTGCGCAGGTGGTGGGGGCAGTGTGGCCCGTCGGGGGCTGGGCCTGCTGATGCTGCCGCCCCCAGGCCCAGGATGAGGCCAAGACTGAACTTCTGAACTCAACCGACGCATCTGTGGCTGGCTGGGGCTCTGACGAGGAGAAGGCGGGGCGCCCGAGGGACCAGGAGGAGGACAAGGTGGGTGTGGTGCCTTCCTGAGTGGGGGCGGTCAGCTGGCCCGGTCTGCCCCTCACTGCTGCCCCTCCCCCAGTTTGTTCTCTCCGAGGTCCTCATGCACCAGGCCATCCACACCATTGAGTTCTGCCTGGGTTGCATCTCCAACACGGCCTCCTACCTGCGCCTCTGGGCCCTGAGCCTGGCCCATGCCCGTGAGTGACCAGTGTGGCGGGCGGCCTGGCCACGGTCAAGTCCTGCCTCCATGTCCCACACACACAGCTGCTGGCTGGGCGGCCTGGGCGGGTCGCTTCTCTGGGGATCAGGAACCCCCTCTGTAAAATGGGGACATCATAGGAGGTCCCCTGCCAGTCCCACAGGAAGAGGGGCTTCGGGCTGCCAAGGGCGTTGGTGGGCACCCTTGGCCCCTGCTCTCCATTTGCACCCCTTCGCCCACAGAGCTGTCCGAGGTCCTGTGGGCCATGGTGATGCGCGTAGGCCTGGGCATGGACATGGGCCGAGAGGTGGGCGTGGCGGCCCTGGTTCTGTTCCCGGTCTTTGCCGCCTTCGCCGTGCTGACCGTGGCCATCCTGCTGGTGATGGAGGGGCTCTCGGCCTTCTTACACGCGCTGCGGCTGCACTGGTGAGCGGCCCACCGGGTGCCCGGGCGGCACGGGGCAGGGTGCGGGCCTCCCCTCACCAACTCTCCCCTCACCCCAGGGTGGAGTTCCAGAACAAGTTCTACTCGGGAACTGGCTACAAGCTGAACCCCTTCACCTTTGCTGTGGAGGACGACTAGCACCCACCCGTGGCCACGCCCTTGACCCCGCGACCCCCCCACCCCTCTGAATGGAGCAGAAAGGGAATAAAGAGGAAGGGCCGGCACTGTGTTTGGGTCCTGTCTGCCGTGCGGGGGCTGGCGAGGCTGCAGCAGAGCCTGGGCTGACGCTGCAAGGCAGGGCCCGGGAGCCTCTTGGCTTCATGGACCCTGTACCAGCCTCTATGCCCGTCTCATACGCACCCTCCTCTGCAGCTGAGGTGGGTGGGATGCACAGGTCAGGGATCTGAGGCCTCAAGAAGTGGAGGAGAGGACCCAAGAGTGTATCTGTAATAATCCCAGACTCGGGGTGAAGGACCAAGGAGGGATGCTCCCAGCACGTGCTAGCGCAGGCCGGGCGGGGGGAGTTCCCATCCGTGGGGGTGCACACTGGCTGTGAGCATGTTCAGGACACGCTGGGTGTGGAGGGGCGTGGTGTCTGGCCCGAAGCGGCCAACATTCCCATCGCTCTTGCTGGCGCTGGCCCCGGGCGCTCGAGATGCTCTGAAGAGCCTGGCCCGACACTCCACACTGGGCGAGCAGCGGTGCCCTACACCGGGGGCCACCATCCCGCAGAGAAGGGCAGAGGCTGGCCGGGATGGCGCCTAGGGTCAGAAGAGGGCTGAGCCAGACCCCAGGCCCTGCCTCCCCAGCGCGGAAGGTTGCAGCCCCCCATCTCCCTGGGCCAGGTAGGCCCGCTCCTGAGGCTGTTCTTCAGCTGGTGGGGTGGCATTCTGTAGCTTTCTGGCCTGGGTCGCCCCACCAGCTGGGAGAGCCAGTGCTCAGACCTTTCTCCAGCCAGATGCCCCAGGAACAAAGGCCGATTTGAGGCCAGATGTCCTGGGCACCATGAGCCCAGTGGCCCGGCCCCATCACTGTGGCTCTCATCTGGCCAGCTGCCGGGAGGAGCCTGTCCCTCAGGCCCCCAGATGCCAGGCTGGGGTACAAGTAGCCAGATGGCAGTCCTGTATGCCTGGCACACTTGGCTCTGAGAACTGATAAAGGCTGTCTGGGGAGGGACACGGGAAACTGGGGCATGGGACTCCGGGGCTGTGGACGGGTCTGGACTGAGCCCAGTCCCCAAGCCTTACACCTTCCTGGGGGGCAGAGCTGGGCAGACCTGCAGGGTGGGGATGACGACAGAGGGACCCTGAGCAGAGGCTGAGCCCAGTGTAGTTTTGTGAGGAGGCAGGTCTGACCCCAGGGAGATGCTGGCTGACACATGGATGGCTGGTCACCTGGCTGGAGGTCTGGTTGCCAGGGACCAGCATAAGCAAGGGCACTGGAGTGGGCACTCCTGGGGCGTGGAGTCATCAGGAGACACGAGGACGGGTGGTCCCCTGAACTGAGGGTAGGCCTGGTCCCTGCGCAGTGTAATGCAGGAGACACCTGAGTGAACAGGTCAGAACTTCAGGAAAAGCCATGTGTCTGGAATACAGGTGACGGGCCAGAGAGGCTGTGGAGGGAATGGTTTCCAGATGGCACTGCTTCCGCCAGAAGCTTTGAGCTGACGGAGGGAGGAGACTGAGCCCGCGCCTCGGGGAGGAAGGCTGGTGCACAGGGACAGGCGGAGGCAGCGGGACATGGCCAGCTGGCCCTGAAGGAGCTGGAAGCTTTATTCTAGGCGAGCTCTCCTGCGGCTCAATATCACTTATCGCTTGGACATCAAAACACACTCTGTTTACGTTGTAAATGTCTGCAAGTGGGAAGTGTCCCCCTGCCCTGGCCCAGCACCCAGACACCCAGACACCCCGACACCCCACCGCGCCTCCCTTCTGGGCGCTTACAGCCTGCACGCCAGGAGCGGACACTGGCGCAGACACTGGGGTCCCCGCCACGACTCAGGGCACAGCCACTGGAGACAGCCAAAGAGGAAATTTTCTTTCCCTTTTTTAAAAACTGATTTTAGAGGGGGAGGGAGACAAACATTGATGAGAGAGAACATCAATTGGCCGCCTCCCGTATGCCCCACACTGGGAACTGGGCCCACAACCTGGGCATGTGCCCTGACCAGGAATCGAACCGGTGATGGGTCAACACTCAACCACTGAGCCACACCAGACGAGAGTTTTTCTTTTTTATTGTTTGTATAGTACAGTCTCTGTGGTAGCAGAAATGTATGCACAGAAACAATTCAAATTAGAGTTCAGATTTAAAAAAAATTACCCCAAAGGATATTGAACATACAGATTTCACAGCTATATTCTATCCACGCCCTCACGTCACACACAGACTGCTGGTACCCACCAGGATGACAGGGTGTCAGGGAACAGAGGGCAGGGACAGCTGGCCACCGAGAGCCCCCTGCCAGGGTTTCCTGCTCCTCCTGAGGGGCCCAGGGCAGCCAACCCTGGCACAGAAACGCCAGCTGTGGGCTGCAGTTGTGGGGAAGAGGCTCGGAGGGGGCACAGCCTGCCCACCCGTGGGGAAGAGGCTCGGAGGGGGCACGTGTCTGCACACCCCCACAGCCCGTGCCCAGCCGCTAGCCCTCCCTGGCCAGGGTTAATGAAGCACATTCAGTGAGGAGGGAGCGGCAGAGGCTACCCCGTTAGGGGGACGTCTGTCTGGACAACACACGCCAGGCCCTTCGAGCTGCATCCATCACACGGAGACAGCAGCTTGCGCTTGTCGTGCGGGGTCTGTTTCTTGAGCATCAGTCATTTGGACCAAAGGGTGAAGGAGCAGCTTCCAGAGACTCACGGGCAGGCCACGGGCAACGTCACGGTCTGTCCTGTCCTCCGCCACCCTCGGGTGAGCAGAGGCTCCACTGTTACTACAGAGCTGGCACAGTGCTCACCAGCAGGGTAACCGAAGTCCTGTAAGAAGGTCAACGTGAGCCAGAATGCGTGGTGGCACGCGGCTGTCTGCGCGCCCGGCCGCAAGCTCCCGGGCCTCGGGACTACAGATCCGCACTAGCGCGCTACTGAGCCGAGTTTCTGCTGCCGAGCTCACGCCAGGCCTAGTGAAGTCGTAAACGAGATATGAAATAAAGGTTACTCAATTTTAATACAGTCTTTCGTATCATACACATCTGTGTGCGGCAGCGAAACGTCCCAGCTTCTTGCCGCAGGGACAGTAGTCGGAGCAGAGGGCCCCACTGGCTCGGCCGCCCCACGCAGTCCAGGAATGAAGTGTACGAAGTCCTCTGCACGGTCACACCCCCAGCTTCCGCTTCTGGTGGAAATAGGCATCAAACCTCGCTTGGGCATAGTCCTAGGAGACAAGGAACAGCGGCCTGACCCAGGGCTCCTGCCAGCCCGAAGGCCCAGGTGCCAACAGCACAGCACAGCTCTGCCCGCTGCAGGCTGCCCAGGAGCCCACCTTCTCACGCTCCCCACACCGTGGTCAGCCTGGCCCCGCCAACCCAGACGGGATGTGTCTACACAGTTGGCACTGCCTGGTTCCCCACTTGTTTGCCCTGCGTGCTCAAGACACTGACTGACAGAAGTTAAAGGCTCCTTTTCAAACGGAAGATCCCGGGCACGCGCAAGCGCAGAACAGAGACGTCTACGTGGTCTCGGCAGCCTCCGACGGTGACTCTACACTTGCTTTAAAATCCAATCCCCCTCCTGCCTCACAGCACCTGTGCCTTCCCGAACCTCTGCCCGGCAGCCGAGACCATCCTGACACAGGACCGAGGAGGAAACTGAACTTGTCACTTCCCGCCACTGTCCCCGAGCAAGGTGCTCACTCCACACTCCTGTGTGCCCCCGCCCCGGACACCCCACCCGCACTCGTGGAAGGTAACAACAGTGTCTGTGACAAGGACAGCCTGGCCTGGCACAAGCTGTTTACAAGAAGGATGTCTTACTCAGCCGCACACCTTCTGCCTCTAAGTTGGGGCTGGAGGCTGGAGAATGGAGTGTGAACAGATGACCGAGATCCCACCCCCTTCACGTGTCACCTCTCCAGCCACCTACGCCCAGGCCCACGATGCACCTCTCTGACGTGGGAGGAACGAGGGCGGCCCCAGGGCAGGCGGCCCCAGCCAGAGGGCTTCGCTGCCGTGCCTCCCCCGCAGCTTCCCACTGGGCCTGCTGCCCGGCCCTGGTTCAGGTGCTCGCAGGGGACGGCAGCCCTCTGTGGGGACACTCCCGGCGCTGTAGCCATTCTGCCCAGGAGAAGAGAAAGACCGCCCACACATACCATGTAGCCAAATTCGATGGATGAAATCTTGGCCTGCACGATGGACCAAAGTCCCCAGAAGAAATGGGAGGCGAGGGCAAACCTGCAATTACAGAAGCAGGAAACACACATGAACAGGTATGTGGTGCCCGTCAGAGGATGGCGAGGTCACTTCTGCTAGACGGACACTCTAACTCATGTCTACTCATCTGGATGCACGACGTCTGCCTGGGCAAACTCAGAGCGGGCCGTGTCCCATGGCCACAGCAGAACCGCCACAGCGCCCTCTGCCCACCTCCGCAGGTGTGAACACACCGAACTGCCCGTCCCCAGCACATGTAACTCCTTTCGCAGGCTCACCTAGAGGCCTTGGTGGCCATGCCAGCAAAGCCTGGGCCACACAGACCCTGTGCTGCCCGTGTGTGAGGGTGCAGCCTCCACACCAGCAAGAGGGAACGTGGGACTGCCACCTCTGCCTGTCCCCGAGGACCCCACACAGAAGTGAAACCGAGCACAGGCCCGTGGGAGCCACCACTGGAATCCCAGTTCTCCCACGTGCACACGGCGGCTCCGTGCGAAGGAAGGAGAGCTCTGACCAGCCCCGTGCTCTGGCCCCACCAACCCAGCCGCCCCGGCAGGTCTCTCTCGCTCCCTTCTGTTTGCTGTGGGGGCAGCCGGGGCGGTGAGCTCAGGGAGGGCTGTGAACACGCCTGACCCACCAAGAGGTGATCCGTGAAGTGCGGCAGACAAGGTGAGCCCGACTGAGTTAAGGAGTCATTTTACCAAAGACTCTCCTGGGAGACCCCAGTGATTCAGAATAATTCAGCCTCTTGACTAAAGAGCTGAGTGGGAATCAATAGATGTCGAGGCCTTGGTGGAATCTGAAAGTTTCTGAACCCTGCTTTGAGAGCTCATGAAAAACAACTGAAAGCAAAACTCAGCCCTGGGCAGGTGGCAAAGTGGCTGAGCATAGTCCTGTGTACCAAAGTTTGCTGGTTCGATTTCATCAGGGCACGTGCCGGGTATCAGGCTGGACCCCCTATGTGGGGCATGCAGGGGGCAGCTGATCCATGTTACTCTCTTTCCCTCTCCCTTTGCTTAAAAAAAAATATTTTGGCCCTGGCCAGTTTGGCTCAGCAGTTAGAGCGTTGGCCCGAGGTCCAGAGACCGGCTTCAGTTCCTGCTAGGGGCACGTACCTCAGTTGCAGTTTGGCCCCAGCCCGTCGTGTGGGTGGCAACCACTCAATGTGTCTCTCACATGGATGTCTCTCTCTCTCTTCCTCCCCTTCTCCCTCCTGCTCTATCTGAAGATGAATGCAAAAATGTCCTTGGATGAGGATAAAAAAAATTTTTTGAATTACAAAAAAACAAGACTCAGAACCAAGAGACATGGCTTCTAGTTATTTCCTAGGAGACGTAGACGGCACCAGCAGGTCCGACTTCCGCAGGGACAAGAGCGCAGCAGAGCCTCACGCACGGATCCAGTCTGGACTCCATCCACGCCTGCCCTCCCACACGCGGACCTGTTCTCACACCTGCTGACGCCCGAGCACACTCAGCCACAGAAGCACCCTTGTTCTGTTTTGGATAGAGTACAGGTCCTAGAGGTGTCCGGTTAGTACGGTTTCTCACATGCCCACAGCCGGCGGCATCCAACTACACTCCAGGCAGAGGTAGGCCATCTTTACAGATCAGCAAGGGAAGATTACCTATTGACTTCAACCAGCATTTCTTCTTCTAGAATGAACTTTTCTTCATTACTGAGGTTTTTAAAGTCATTTGGGAATGCAGCCAAGTAACTAGAAATAAAATGGAGCTAAAAAGAAAAAAGAAAAATTAAGGATCAGTGACGGTTAAAGAGACGCTGTCCTAAACTGCTGCAAACACACACATCTGCCATGTCAGCGGAGCCGGAGGAAGCCTGGCCGAGCCGCGCCTCTCCGCCCAGGAGGGGACTTGGAGGTTCCCTCGTCTCACGGCAGTCACCGGGTGCAGAGTTCTAATGGGCTCCATGCTGTGCTGGTGACAAGACAGGTACAGGGAACTAAGGCTGCTTGTGGAGAAGTAATTCAGCTAGAATCTTTATTCTGATCCCCGCTCATGCTTTCCCCCGTCTGAGCAAAGCCCGGCCACGAGCACGCCAGGCACCAGGCTCTGGCTATCCTGATGCTCCCTCAGAGCCGGGGCTGGGGCAGACAGTATGGGGCCCCCTAAGACTCCGTGATTTACCCACTTAGGCTCATAAAGTGGCAATGTCTAATTTTGGTTTGGAGAAGAGACAGTTTACCTAAGGTGGCCCCAGGCTGCACATTTAGTCCACATGTCAGTTAGGATTAGGAGCTCCCTGGTTCGACTATTCCATACTCAGCAAAGGCAGTAGAACGCGGCAAACCATCGATACTTTCTTTTGTACACAAGAACATGGCTGTTGGTCATCATTCCCTCGTTCACTGGTTACCTAGTTGGAATGCCCACACTCCTCCCCCCATGTCCTTTGCCCGTATGGCCTCTTAAACCTTCCTTCTCTAAAGTCAGCTTTCACATTCCACTACCAAAGAGCACCACAAGTTCAAGCTCTGTCCCCGGCAGTGCTCCTGGAGTGCCAAGCCCCGGCCAGTGTGGCGCACTGCTGGAGTCCCCTGCACCGAAAGGCTGCCGGTTGATTCCCAGTCAGGACACATGCCCGGGCTACAGGCTTGATCCCAGGTAACGAGTGTGCAGAAGGCAATTAGTTTGTAAAAGCTTGAACCACCGCATTAGTAGGGTTAATTTCTGGGAGGCACTAAATGCTGAAACTGGCAAAGAAAGAAAGAAAACTTCAGTTGAACTGATCAACACCCTAATGAAATAGTAATCAATGACCCTCCCTCCAAAAATGTCCTAGGCCCAGACTGTTTTGCAAGCAAGGTCTATCAAACTTTCAAAGAACAGATATCATCTTCATTGTATAAAAATCTGCTCCAGAAAATAAGGAGGGAGACTCAGCTCACTTTAAAAGACCAGTATAATTCTGATTCCAAAAGATGCAATAATTTTAAAAATGAACAGCCCTGGCTGGTTTGGCTCAGCGGTTGGAGCGTTGGCCTGCGGTCCAGAGAGACCCGGGTTCAGTTCCCGCTAATGGTATGTACCTCGGTTGCAGTTTGTCCCCGGCCCTGGTTGGGTCGTGTGGGTGGCAGCCACTCTATGTGTTCCTTTCACGTCGATGTCCCCCCCTCCCCCGTCCGTCCCTCCCACTCTATCTGAACAAAATATGGGAAAGTGTCCTCGGGTGAGGATAAAAAAACAGAACATAAAAGGCCCAATTGACATACGTGCACAGATACAGAACTCCCCAAATAAGACAATGCCTAATTGACCCAGTGGAGAATTAGTTTACTGCAGAAATTCCAGAATGGTTTAACATTTAAAAACATCTCATTAACGAGTTAAAAAGAAAAAAGCCATGAGAGGCTTTTCTCTGCATCTATGAAGTAACCTGATGAAGACCAACAGCTCGGCGGGATCTGTAAACGCCCAGAAAGCAGAAGAGAACCGGCTTCGGTCTCCGGTCTCCACGCCGGGCGGGCGGGCGGCACTGGCAGTCACACGGCCCCCGAAGTAAGTCTGCCTCCGTCCTGAACAGCTCCCTCCGAGCTCTCACACCAAAGGTGCCCAGTTTTCACCAGTCTAATTTCTCTTCAGCAGGGCGAGGTGTCCTCTCGTCCCCGGGCTTTCCCCCACCCTTCCTTCTCACGCAGCATGGCCTTGAGGTGCAGACCATGCCGCCACTGTGGACATGCTCAGGGCCTCGCAGCCAGCTTTAAAATACAGCCCGAAGACAGCAACAGTTTCGCCCCACGATACGCCTGCCCTAGACAGTGCGCTGCCCACAGAAGACTGTCACTGTGCCTGACGGGTGGGTGGGTGCCGGAGAAGCACCTGGGAAGTCTGCTCAGTGAGCTACGGCAGCAACTAATGCAGCCTGTTGTCACCCCAGCCTCTGGGCACACCTCTGAGCAGGCGGGGTGCGCTCCTCCCAGCCCTGCCGCTTCTACGTGCCACCTACTTATCCTCACCAGGCTGAGGACTGCGAGAGGGATTCCTAAGAGGCACCCCAGTCACTGCTCCCGTAACTCAGGACAGGGCAGAGAACCGTCAACACCGCAGCAGCTACATCACGCTGCCCACGATGACGTCTCTGCGCAGTGGGACAGAAGTCAGTGACCGCCAGAAAGGAGCCAAAAGAAAGTAGAACAGGGCTGCACTTTTTAGAAAAAACTACAATGGGGACTGAGCTCCTCTGACTGAGCAAAGGGATCTCTGGCACAGAGCTGGACACAAATGTCAACTTTGCGTCTACATTTAACAAGAAGACATTGAAAGCCAAAAGCGTTTGCCTACCCACTACCAGTTTGAAAGGGGCATCATTCAAAATGCAGACGTAGTCAACACTAATTGCACAAAGCTGACGGGTAGCTCACTGACCACCAGCGCTGGAACCAGCCCTACCTGCTGCTTCCTGGTGGGGAACTTCAGGATGTTCGCTCTGAAAAAGGGATACTTCTCGTAGGTATAATCATACATCCACTCACAGAAATGGTTCCCAATGTCGAATCCCCTGAAAAAGAGGCCAGAAATGCAGAAAATGAGTCAACCTGTTCATTTCGAGGCTCCCTGTCCACAGAAAGAAAGAGGCTGATACATGAAAGGACATAATCTAAGCCAAAGAAAGCACTCTGGATCCTGATCACACAGCCCTGCTCCCTCTCACAGGAGCTAAGGACGGGTTGTGCCACTGCATGTGGCCATCGTGGCACGGGCACTAAAAGCACTGGTCCAGAAGAGGCTTTGGAATGCCCACGGCACTGCTCCCCATTTCCCCCATAGGCGGTCCATACACACATTCAAATAGAACAGCACGGAAATACACACACTTCACTGCTTACCTGTAGTTATAGCTGCTGTATTCAAAGTCGATGAGCATCAGCCTCTGTTTCTCAGAATTCTCTCTGCCTTCCAGCAACAAGATGTTACCTGCAGAAAGGTGTGCACATGACTTTCCTCTGGGGGGTTTATGCTCAAAGTCGTAAGTCCTGAACAGCAGAGCTGGCGTCTCTGACCCTTTTGGGGATGCTAACCACCAGGGAGTGAAGGTGGCTGCAGACCCAAGTGGCGCCTGGAGAAGCACTGTCCCGGGGCCTGGCCCTTGGCAGAAGGCCAGGGTCACAATCTGTTCACAGCAGCCTCAGGAGCACAGCCCTGGGCTCCCCCTCAGTTTTCACATGGGGCACAAAGGGAAATGCCGCAGGATCCCCTGGGAAGCTGTGTTCTGGTGTCCTCCCGATGAGGATGCTGCCAGGGGCGAGGTCAGCCCCCGCACGGCTCTGGGAACCACACCTGACCTCACCGCTCGGCCCTCGCCAGGTCTTAAGCAAGACCACAAGCAGCTCTGCACAACCATGTTCCCTTAGGGCTGGGTTCTGGGCCAGAAGTGACTTGGCCACCACACTGGCCCCCAGGCCTCTGCTCTGAGACTCCGCACTGTACACAATGGGCTGCACCACTGAGCCCATGGGGTGGTGGGCGAGCAGAACCCGCCTGTGCTCCTCTGTCGGGACGCCCTCTGCAGGGAGTCCGCAGCAGGCACGCTTCCTAGGCTCCTCGGTGCCTCCCAAGGAGCATGAAGGCACATTCCCACGGGAGCTGAGCCAAGTGAGTGCAGCTCCCTCTCTGTGCCCTCCACGGGCTGCCACCTCTGGCAAGCTGACCTCCCTCACATGCAAAACTGGCTGACATGTCTACACACTGCTTGACTGCACTTGGCCGGCTACAATTAGCTAATTAGTAAAAGGTACTTGGGCTTAAACTAAGGTCTTACTGAGACTGGTCTTCAACAGGGACTGTTCTCAAAATTAAAACCAACGGCTCAGCCTGGCCAAGGGCCCGAAGGTGGACCTCAGGGCAAAGCCACGCCGCAGCCAGGCAGTCGTGGCTGTCCAGCTAGATGGGGCCTCTGGTTCAACTCTGAGTCTGCAACACGCTAGGCAAAGCATGGCTGCAGAGATTTCTCAGAGCAGAGAAGCAGAAGTATTACTAGGTGGGAACTGACATCCCCAGAGGCGGCGGCTCTGGTACGGCCGGTGCTGTTCACTGCGGAGGCCGAGCCCAGGCTGAGCCCAGGCTGACCGAGAAGGCAGTCCCGCAGATTTAACCCTCTAATCTTCCAGATTAACAGTCACGTCCACAAAAGGTGTCAAATGCTGAGCGAACATGTGACTTAGGAAGGTGAAGGTCTTTATCTCAGTTCCCAGTTTAAGTGACTATTCTGATTTTTTCTTTCTTTTTTTTTATTCTCACCCGAGGACATTTTTCCACTTTTTTGTTAAGATAGAGTGGGAGGGAGAAAGAGGAAGAGAGAGAGAGAGAGACATCGATGTGAAAGGGACACATTGAGTGGCTGCCACCCACACGACCCAACCAGGGCCGGGGGACAAACCGAGGTACGTGCCCTTAGCAGGAACCGAACCCGGGTCTCTCTGGACTGCAGGCCGACGCTCTAACTGCTGAGCCAAACCGGCCAGGGCTGATTTTTTTTATAAATGTATTTTTTTTTACAGAAATGGGATGAGATATATACATGTTTTTCTAAAACTTACCTTTTTTTTTTTTAATGTATCCTGGAGATTTTTCTGTTGGTCTATATAAAACTCAACCTCTTTCTTTTTTTTTCTTTTGAAAATTGTTATGAGTTTATTTGAGCCAAATGTTCTCTTTCTTTTTAATAGTTATGCAATACTTCATGTCTGGCTGTGCCTTCATTTAATGCCTCTAACCCTCTCTTCCTGGACCCTGGGCACTGACACACACACCCTGGGCACTGACACACACACAAAATGGGCTGCAACTCTTACCTTCTTGACAGTCATTATGACAAAAAACAACTGGCGATGGAGTGGATTCCAGCAATGATCTGGAGAAGGAAGGATATGCTATTACTTATCAGACTTTTCAGTTCGATGCAAACAGTCCTGCTGCCTCAGCAAGCCCTGCTCTGCAATAGTGCTCCAAACACATGCCCTCTGGGGAACGTTTGTCCCAACCACAACAGTGCTCCAAACACATGCCCTCTGGGGAACGTTTGTCCCAACCACAACAGTGCTCCAAACACATGCCCTCTGGGGAACTCTGGGGAACTGCTGTGGGCAGGCCGGGCAGCCGAGGGACAGTGCTCAGGCCTCCCCTCCTCTCCTCCCTTTCCTGGAGGACCCCTCATGCAGCTGCTGCGTGGCCTGCAGTCCCTCCTCCAAGAGCCTGACTGACCACTGACCAGAGCACATCCCTGTAGGTTGGTCTCTTTTGGCCTCTGGTTTCCCTGATAACACTTATCACAACATACTATTATTTTGTTAACTTGTTTTCTGTCTCTCTTGATACAACAGAAGCTCCTTGAAAAATGTCTTGGTTACTGTTTCTTCGGCACCAATCACGAGGCCCAGACCAATAGGCCCTCAAATACTGAGTATTAAAAGCATAAATACTCCCACTCGGGGGACATGTGCTAGGAGCCTGCACGCCCCGGCCCCTGAAGACTCCATGGTGGTGTCTACTCAGAGAGATGTCAAGCTTCTTCCTCCATTCCCCCAAAGCTTGGCTTGAACTGTTCCCCAGCCTGCCCCAAGGTTTGTTGCTCTGGTTTCATTTAAGAAAAACCTACTGCCCTAGGTGCTCTGCTGCCCTCATCACCAACCATCCCTGAGGAACTGTACTCCCACCATGAACCTCAGGGGACAACCGCAGAAGTGACTTCGCTCGCATGAAACTAATTCTAGGTGACAAAATCACTGTTTAAACTCGTCTTGCAAAACCAATATAAGCACCAGGCCTGAGGCCATGCTTATAAATGATCGCTGACAGCTGTTCTAGCGACTACGAATGTTTACATTTCTGGACACATGTACTTGCTAAGTCAGGAAATGGATGCAATGCTGACCTCAGATTTTCCAGTTCCAAAGGCAGGTTGTAACTGAGGAATCTGTGCAGCTGCTTCACTTTGGGCTCCCCAGTGAACTTAATTCTCAGCACTTGATTGAGATATCTTGCAAAAAAAGAGAGAACAAGCATTGCTCAGTTCACCATGGCTTGCGATTGGGCTCTAGTTAAATATAACAACAGTGTCACACAAGGGGCACCCGATCGCCATGGCAGGGGAAGGAGGGCGTGGGTCCAGGACACTCTGGGAAGCAGACTCTCTGTCCATCCACCTGTTTGGTGGCATTTCTGCTGGTCTTTCCTGGTTCAGGAGCTGATTCTGGCATGGAAGAAAGACCTACTCCTGAGGCAGACCCCACCGACTCAGCGCTGCGCATCAGCGGACAGAGAAAGCCCTCCAGCCGTGGGGCCGGCCAGGGCTCCCCTCGGGCACCACCGGGAGCTGCCAATGTAAGACTCAGAGCCAAGTGATCTGACCACTTACTTTTCCATTGTTCCAAAAAGCCATTTCGGTTCCTTATTGAAAGGCATTTTCATACCATGGAATGTAGCCATTTTCTCAGCTATTTCTGCAGAAATATCTGGCAAACTTAATTCTTCAGTGTCTAGTCGCCGGCTCTGAAATAAAAAGGGTGTTAGAAAATGGCATTCATGCAGATAACCTAGGAAGTGTGAGCTCCACAAAATTCTCTTCAGAAATTTGGGCACTGTGCCCAAAGATGAAGACTCAGCAATTGTCAGGGCACCTCTTAGCGAGGGGCAGGCTACCACCAAAGGCCGGTTTCATTTCGAACTCTTTATTTGAGAGCAAGTCCTTCTCCCACACTGTGACTGCCCTTGATCACTCCACCCAACACTAGAGGTATGCTCCCTTCCCTAGGCTAGAAACTCCAGGTATTCGGCGATTTACCAGGTGACCCAGCACCTAACTCCTTCATCGCTGGACAGTCCACTCAGACACGCAAGTGAGATGTGGCAGTGCTGTGAGCTCAGGTGAGCCCTGTCCCAGTATTCACAGTGGTGTCCCCAGCACCTACCTACCTGGTACAGAGAAGGCTCTCAACCAGAAACCACCCCCAGTAAGTAGGACTTATTCCCAGCTTCCTAACACAGCCCGAGGCCACGCGTGTATGGCTGCCCTTCCACAGCTACTCACGGGGAGCTCCCAAGTGCCCTGACCTCAGCTCCACTCCCACAAGGCCTTCCCATCACTGAGTTGTGTTCAGTGGTTCCTCACCTTTTCTAAAGAGAAGTTTTACCACACATGTATGTATTAAACAATTCTTAATTTGCTCCTGCTGGGCTTTATTAAAATGGTATGATAGTCCAGCCGGCGTGGCTCAGTGGTTGAGCATCGACCCATGCACCAAAATGGTATGATACTATGTGCATTCTACAATTTGACTTTACCAATCAATATTGTTTTTAAGATGCAACCATGTTGCCAGTTATAAACATATAAAATCCTATATTTTCAAAATTCTTTCCAATCCATCATGACCTCATTTGATTCTTATACCAGATAGATGTTCCTGTCTTTACTGGGAAAAATATAAATCAAAGCACCGCCAGGTACCAGGGAAGAGACTGAACGTGGACTCTGGTGCCGGGAGTACCACCCACTGGTTTAAGCAGCCCAGAACGGCAGCTGGTGCACATGGCGCCATTGGGGAGATAGCACAAGGCTCCTGGCCTGTGGGATTAGACACAGGAACCCCTCCTTCAGCCCCAGCTGGACACAGGTGGAGTCCTGGCAAGCAGAGCACCCCCTCAGCCAGGTGTCCTTGTCCACCTGCACTGCTGTTCATAAGTGGCCAAGACACCACACAGGCAGGGCATGAAAAGGCAGCCATTCATGGCCTAGTGCTCAAGGGGCTCACGCAGGTTAAGAGGGGCACCCTTCACCACCTCTGCAGGTCTAGATGCCAGTGGGAACTCAGGCGAGCCGGCTCAGCATCTCCACCCGCATGAGCTGGGCCCACCTTCACTTTCACGGGAGCCCCTGAGGCCCGGGCCCTCTTGTGGGAGGGGATGGGACTCCTACCCTCAATTCTAAACAAGACAGGCTGGAAGATCTTACAGCAACAGTAACAATGCCTCAGGCCAGCAAGGAAGGGAAACCAGTCCTGACGGAAACAGAGTCAGAGCCAAGCTCTGAAGTGAGAGTGGAACCGGGGGCAGAGGGAGGGAGGACACCGGGAGACAAGGCAAAGGGCAGTGGTGGCCCAGAATGGTCAGGGCTAGGTGCTCTGCGGCCAGTTCTACGAGAAGGCCCTGCAGATGAGGGGAACAAAGTGAAAGGGGACCATTTCAGGGCCAAGCAGCTTTAAGGGACAACGAATGTTGTTTCATGTGTGTATTTTAACTGATTTTAGAGAAAAGGAAGAGAGGAGGAAGGGAAAGGAACAGAGGAGGAGGGGAGGGGGAGCGAGAAAGAGAGAGCGAGCAAGAAAAACATTGATTTTGTTGTTCCACTATTTATGTATTCACTGTTGTTTCTTGTATGTGCCCTGACCAGAGATTAAACCCGCAACCTTGGCGAATCAGTACAACACTCTAATTGAGCGACCTGGCCAGCACTCACATATATATATATATATATATTTTTTTTATTCTTACCCGAGGACATTTTTCCATTTTTTACTCAGATAGAGCGGGAAGGAGAGAGAGGAAGAGAGAGAGAAACATCGATGTGAAAGGGACACATCGAGTGGCCGCCACCCACACGACCCAACCAGGGCCGGGGACAAACTGCAGCCAAGGTACATGCCCTTAGCGGGAACGGAACCCGGGTCTCTGTGGACCGCAGGCCGACGCTCTAACCGCTGAGCCAAATCGGCCAGGGCAATTTTTGATCAACATATCTTTGTAGGAAAAATAGAGGTTCTGATGTAAATTCAATAGACTTGATTTTTCTTTATTTCTGACACAGCTTAAGAATGTGGTCGAGCACACATCTTACCGGAATAAACTGCTCCAAGCGGCCTTGCGGAAAGATGCCGTAGAGCTTCGGTCCCAGGGACCTCTCTGCAAGGATGGCGAACATCACGCTCTCCAGAACCATGGCCTCAGCCCCCTGAAACATGGCGACACGCCGGATGTTAGAGTGCTGCCGCAGAGCGCTTTCCCACGAGCAGCTTCGCACCAACTCTACGATCGGGCTGATCACCCACGTTTTAAATATGAAGAAACAGAGGTTAACACAGCTGGTATTTATTTGCAGGATCCATGTTCAAAGCACTATATTGATGAAACTTAAAATTCAACTTTAATTAAGGTCACTGACTCCAAAAATAGGGTAATATCTAGAAATATTTTAAAACTTGTATGAATCTCAACCTTGGCATCTTGTCAAAGGTCACAACAGTACCACCCATTCTGGCGAAGGCCGACTTGCTTTTCTGCGGACAGTGCCAAGTGAAGCAGGGCCGAGGCCTGCGCCCACTGACCGGCGCTGTTGCTGGTGAGCTTCACATTACTCCTTTAGGTCGGGGTCTGTTTTCTGGCCCCAAGAGCACTTAAGCTGGGAGCGTCAAATTTTCTATTTTCTGCTTTTATCCCCAAGTGTCTCGTCATTTAATGTTCATCTTCTTGCCAAAACCTCTACAATGCTCCTATGGTTCTGTCCTAAAAGCAAATGTGGATCTATAATCATTGTGCCTTCAAAATCCACGTTTTGGATTCAACTCAAATTCATTCCTTAGTCCTCTTTCCTCAAACAGCAAATTATAGCGTAAGCGTTTCCACTTGTTGGGGTGAAGGAGTGGGAGCAACTGTTCTTAACCACAGTGCACAGAATCTCTTAGGCAGTGGTTCTCAACCTTCCTGAGGCCGCGACACTTTAATCCGGCTCCTCATGTTGTGTGTGGGCGCATCTGCATGTGGGGGACCCGCCTGGAGACGGATAGAGGAGCGGGGTCTCGGAAATATGTTTTCCAATGGTCTTAGGCTACCCCTGAGAAAGGGTCATTCAATCCCCCAAAGGGGTCGCGACCCACAGGTTGAGAACTGCTGCCTTAGAGCGTTTCAAATAGGTGTGTGGGGAGCCACCAGCAGGTGTGCTCTGAAAATGCTTTGAGGGGGTTCTACTTCACCCCTTGTTAAGAAACATGCTGTGCTCCCAGGAGGCCCCAAAGCCAGCACACCCGGTGGACAGCTTCACCCACGCTGAAGGACCACCCACTCACACTCAGCGCGCACCAGAGCCCCCTGAAGCGAGTCCTGCTCGGCAGGGTGGGCCCCTGCCCGCTGGCACCTGCGCCAGTCCCTGCAGCAGTCGGCCTCGGCACACCTCCAACAGGAGGGAGTACACAGTCCATGCAGGGTGGGAAGGGGAGCAGGGTGGGCCCCTGCCCGCTGGCACCCGCGCCAGTCCTTGCAGCAGTCGGCCTCGGCACACCTCCAACAGGACAACAGGAGGGTGTACACAGTCCATGCAGGGTGGGAAGGGGAGCAGGGTGGGCTCCTGCCCGCTGGCACCCGCGCCAGTCCCTGCAGCAGTCGGCCTCGGCACACCTCCAACAGGAGGGTGTACACAGTCCATGCAGGGTGGGAAGGGGAGCAGGGTGGGCCCCTGCCCGCTGGCACCCGTGCCAGTCCCTGCAGCAGTCGGCCTCGGCACACCTCCAACAGGAGGGTGTACACAGTCCATGCAGGGTGGGAAGGGGAGCAGGGTACACAGTCCATGCAGGGCGGGAAGGGGGGTCAGAGTACACCTGGATTGCCCAGCTTGGGTGAACGGGGAGGCTGTGCCACTGGACCCTACAGGACACCTACTACCTTGGGCCACTCTATCAAGCCTAGGAGAGAGAACTCTACCTAATACATAGAAACAGAGAGAGGCTGCCAAAATGAGGAGACAAAGAAACATGTCCCAAATGAAAGAACAGAACAAACTTTAGAAAAAAAACTAAACGAAATGCAGACAAGCAACCTACAACTGCAGAATTCAAGACACGGGTTATGAGGATGCTCGAGAACTTAGGGGAAGAGTAGACAAACAAAGATAACTTCAACAGTCTAAGAAAGGACATGGAAACCATAAAAAAGAACCAGTCAGAAATGAAGGATATACTAACTGAAAATAATAATAATTTACAGGGAAGCAACAGTAAATGAAGCCGAGAATCAAAATAACAATTTGGGATATAAAAAAGCAAAAAACACCCAATCAGAACAGCTAAAAGAAAAAAGAATCCAAAAGAAATGAGGATGGTGTAAAGAAGTCTCCAGGACAACGTCAAATGTACCAACATTCACATCATGGAGGTGCTGGAAGGAGGAGAGACAGAAGAAACTGAAAACCTATTTAAAAATAATGACAGAAAACTTCCCTACCCTGGTGAAGAAAATAAACATATAGGTCCAGGAAGCACAGAGTCCCAAACAAGATGAACCTAAAGAGGCCCACATCAAGATAAATCATAATTAAAATGCAAACAGTTAAAGACAGGGAATCTTAAGAACAGCAAGAGAAAAGCGGTTAGTTGCCTACATAGAAGCTCCCATAAGACTGTCAGCTGATTTCACAATACAGACTTTGCAGGCCAGAGGGACTGGCAAAAATACTCAAATGTGCCCTGGCCAGTGTGACTCAGTGGCTAGTGTCGGCCCACACACCAAAGAGTTCTGGGTTCAATTCCCAGACAAGGGCACATACCTGGGTTGCAGGTTCCACCCCCAGCCCAGGTCAGGGCTCATGCAGGAGGCAACCAATTACTCGATGTTTCTCTTTCTCTCTCTTCCCCGTCCTTCCCTCCCTTCCACTCTCTCTAAAAAGGATCCTGGGGTGAGGATTAACAACAAAAATAATCAACGTTATAAAAAGCAAGGACCTGCAACCAAGATTACTCTACCCAACAAAGCTACTGTTTAGAATGGAAGGACAGATAAAGAACTTCCCAGACTAGAAAAACCTAAAGGAGTTTATCACTACCAAACCAGTATTACATGAAATGTTAACAGGTTTTTTTTTTTTAACTTATTGATTTGAGAGAGGATGGGTAAGGAAAGAGACAGAGCGAAACAATTTATTCATGCATTCACTGGTTGATTCTTTTTTTTTCTTTTTTTATTAGTGAGAGGGAGGAAGAGAGAGAGAAACATCGATGTGAAACACATCGACCAGCTGCCACCCACACAACCTCAACCGGGCCTGGGGACAAATTGCAACCGAGGTACGTGCTCTTAGCAGGAACCAAACCCGGGTCTCTCTGGACCGCAGGCCGACTGCTGAGCCAAACTGGCCAGGGCCAAATGGTCTTCTTCAAGGGGATAAAAAAAAAAAAAGCTCTGGCCGGGTGGCTCAGTTACTTGGAGCATTGTCCCATACACCAAAAGGTTGTAAGTTCGATTCCTGGTCAGGGCACATACCTAGGTTGTGGGTTCCATTCCCGGTTGGGGGGCATATGGGAGGCGGCCAATCAATGTCTCTCTCTCTTTCCCTAAAAATCAGTAGAGCCCTGGCCGATTTGGCTCAGCGGTTAGAGCGTTGGCCTGCGGTCCTGAAAGACCCGGGTTCGGTTCCCGCTAAGTGCATGTACCTCGGTTGCAGTTTGTCCCTGGCTCGGGTCGGTCGTGCGGGTGGCAGCCACTCGATGTGTCCCTTTCACATCGATGTTTCTCTCTCTCTCTGTTCCTCTCTCTCCCTTCCACTCTACCTGAACAAAAAATGGAAAAATGTCCTCGGGTGAGGATAAAAAAAAAAAAAAAAAAAAATCAGTAGAGACATTTCCTCGGGTGAAGATTTTAAAAAGAAGAAAGAGCCCTGGCTGATCTGGCTCAGTGGTTAGAGTGTTGGCCCGCAGACCAGACAGAGTCACAGTTTTGATTCTTGGTCAAGGACATGTACCTGGGTTGCAAATTCGATCCCCAGTCCCAGTCAGGGTCCATGTGGGAGGCAACCAGTTGACGTACATCTCTCATATAGATGTTTCTCTCCTTCTCCCCTTCCCTCCTATTCTATCTTAAAAAGGAAAAAAAAAATTAATGAAAAAATATACTCAGGTAAGGATTAAAATAAATAAATAAAAAAGAAAGAAAATAAGATAAAAAATATAGCCCTGGCTGATTTGGCTCAGCGGTTGGAGCGTTGGCCTGCGGACCAGAGAGTCCCGGGTTTAGTTCCCGCTAGGGGCACGTACCAAAAAATGAATAAATAAAATTTTTTAAAAAAAGATAAAAAATATAAACAATAACATGGCAGTACATACATATCCATTGAATTGCATCTAAACAAAACAAACAAGCAGATAGAAACAGACCAATAGACACAGAATTTTTTTTCCTTTATTGGTTTTAGAGAGAGAAAGAGAGGGAGAGAGAGAGAGAGAGAAACATCGATTAGCCACCTCCTGCATGCCCCCAACTGGGGATGGGGCCCACAACCTGGGCAGTGTCCTGACCGGGAATTAAACCGGTGACCTCTTGGTGCATGGGTTGATGCTCAACCCTTGAGCCATACCGGCCAGACAATACAGAGAATATTTTGATGGGGATGGGGGGGGGGGTGAAAAAGGTGAAGGAATTAAGAAGTACAAATTGGTAGCCACAGAACAGTCTTGGGGATGCAAAGTACAGCTTAGGGAATATAATCCATAACCTCATAACCAGGTATAATGTCAGAGGGGTACCAGATTTATTGGGATGATCATTTAGTAAGTCATATAATGCCTAATACTGGGGTGTACGCCTGAAATTAATATAGTATTGTATGTCAACTGTAATTGAAAAATAAAAAATGATTTAAAAAGAAAAAAGAGCCGTGGCTGGTTTGGCTCAGTGGTTAGAGCATCGGCCCGCAGACCGAAGAGTCTCGGGTTCAATCCAGTCAAGGGCACGTGCCTCAGTTGTGGTTTGGGCCCCAGCCATGGTCGGGGTCATGTGGGAGGCAACCAGTCAATGTGTCTCTCTCACATCGATGTCTGTCTCTCTCTTTCTCTCCCTCACACTTTGAAGATAAATGAAAAAATACCCTTGGGTGAGGATTTAAAACACAAAAGAGGAGGAAAGAAATAAACGTGCTGTGGGTGATACGATTGGAACAGATACTGTTTAAAATAATGCCCCAGACGGTTTAGCTCAGCGGTTCGAGTGTCAGCCTGCGGTCCAGAGAGACCCGGGTTTGGTTCCCGCTAACGGCACGTACCTTGGTTGCAGTTTGTCCCCGGCCCTGGTTGGGTCGTGCAGGAGGCAGCCACTCGATGTGTCCCTTTCACATCGATGTTTCTCTCTCTCTCTCTCCCTCCCTCCCTCCCACTCTATCTGAACAAAAAATGGGAGAATGTCCTTGGGTGAGGATAATAAAAAATAAATAAAATAAAATAAAATGGAGCTCTTTAGCCCTGGCTGGTATAGCTTACTTGGTTGGACTGTTGTCCCATGCACCCAAGGGTCTTCGGTTCAATTCCTGGTGAGGGCACATACCTGGGTGTGGGTTCCATCCCAGGCAGGGCGAATGCAGAGATAATCAATTGTTGTTTCTCACATCTATGTTTCTCTCTCTCTTTCTCCCTCCCTTCCTCTAAGATCAATTTTTAAAAAACATCCTCAGGTGAGAATTTAAAAAAACAAACCCACAATGGAGCTCTTTAAATCGCACTCACATTACAAAAATGAACTGAGATGAACCTTCATAGGCAAGGACACAAAAGTTAGTGAGGAAAAAAACAAAGAAATGCTACTTACAAGAAGACAGTATCGCATTCAAATAAAAGTAATGCAGTCACTTGCAGGTTTGGTGGGGGAAGTGGACTTGCTGGTCACTCCCCAATTCTCGTCTAGCCACCACCTGTGTAATCCCCCCAACTGTGGTCTAACCACCATCTGGTGAGGCCCAATCTTGGTTTACTAATTTGAAGTTTTGTATAAGTGATTGCTATAAGACAAACTGTGCCCCCAAATTCATACACTGCAGCCCTAACCACTAAGGCCATGGTATTTGGAGGTAGGGCCTTTGGGAGGCGAAGGGTCAGCTGAGGCCAAGAGGGTGGAGACCTACGGGATCAGTGTTATTTAGAAGAGACACCAGGGAACCTCACTACTTCTCTCTCCCTCCGCCAGCAAGGACATAGCAAGAAGCTGGCGTCCGCACGGCAGGAAGGGGGCTCCCACCAGAACCCAGTGTGCGGGCACCGTGCTCGGACCTCCAGCCTCCAGTGCGGCGAGAAATCCTAGCTGTTGTTTATGCCCCTGGGGAGTTGTTACCACTAAGACAATGAGAACAGGGACATAGCGTTGATCTCCAAAAGTTAATGAATTTTAGAGCAGCATCTGACTGACATCAGACAGGTTTTGGCTGGCCAAAAGCCTTCACTCATTCATATGACCTGACAGCAAACCTGTGTGGGGGCACGGTCATTGCTGGCCCCATCTGGCCTCAAGTCCAGCACCAGAACACCCACAGGAGTGTGCCATGGTCTGCAGAGCATCTTTCAAACTCTCCACTTGGAGCCCTGCTCTGCTGCCCCAGGGAGCCCTGCCCAGCGCCCCACCGCACTGGACGGAGTAAACGCGAGCGTAGGACGAGGGAGCTGACGTCGGTGCCCAGCCCAGCAGTCTGCCACTAGTGGCTCTTCGACATCTGTACAACCCCCACCCCAAACTGCAGCCCATTCCCCAGTCATTCCAAAGATTACAATCAGAGTTTCTTCTGTCTAGGTTCCCTGAATTAGGTGGAATTAAAATTTGTTTTTAAGTTTCTTTTGTGTAGGGTAATTAAGTTAAAGGGCATTAAGATGAGCACTGTATAAAACACATATAAGTATCTAATCTGCATATCCCTTAAAGTTTGAAGTTTCAAATCTCATAGATTTAAACCCCATTGATTATTTCAGTGAGTATTTTTGCACATCATGCCCATCGGTACAAAGGTTCTGGGTACTGACCGCAACTGACACACATGGTCCAGAACCCTCCAGGGCTGAGCCAACCCATCCCAGGAATGGTGAAGATGGGACGAGACAAGAACGTCCCAATCTCTGAAGCATGGCTCTGAACACTGTAAACAAGACCCCTTTGTTCTTAAGTGATACTGCAGCTCCTTACTTATTCACAGGAGGGAGAAAGAGGGGTGGTGTGTGGATGGAAGAATCTGGAAAGGAAGGAAATGAAAGAAAACACTAAGTCACAAGCAAGACAAACAGGCTGCAAGTAATCTTGGACTGAGCGCATGGACCACTGTGGTCTTTGTAACCACAAGGTCTCCAAGCCCCTCACTGCTTGCTCTTAAGGAAAAGTAAGCACCCAGGGCGAGACTGGTAGCAGATGGTGTGAATCCCAGGCAGGGTCTGGGTGGAGGACAGGAACTGTGAACCTTTGGCCTAAGGGAGAAATGCAGACAAGGTTTGGATCAGGTAGCCGGAGAGTGGCAGCACAGGAAGAGGGCCGTGGGCCACACTGGGGAGAGTTCTAGCAGTAAAGCAGACGGCAGGAGCTGAGGAAGGAGACGAGGATGAGCAGAAGAGAGACGAATCCTGACTTTGTGCCTGCGACCCAGCTGCACTAGGGAAGGAAATGTTTCAAAACAGGTGAGGGTCCTGCCACCGCTTCCGAAAAGTCCCAACGCAAGGAGGACTGATTTGGGTTTAGCCTCCTGGAGGTCTGGTGCTCCAACATTTCCAACTAGCAGCAGGTACAAAGGTCTACACACGAAGGGCTCAGTCAGAGTGGCTGAAAATACTGTCAATCATTTTCCACCCAGTGACTGACTTCTCAGTCAGTGCTAGATCCTCTGGACCAGGGTCTCCAGAGCAGGGCGCATGCAAAACAACCCACCAAATCATGAGGACAAGATATCAGCACTGTTATTCCTTTATAATCACACTTCTTTTTGATGCCTGTCTTGATTATTTAAGTAACCACTACACAATTAGTAATTATTAAACCAGTATGTTGATATGTGTGTGTGTGTGTGTGTTGTGTGTACACGCACTTGCACACACACCCGTGGCATACAAACTTGGGAGAGTATGCTCAAAAGTTGTTTCCCCTCTGAAGTGCTCCAGACTCCCCACTTCTGAGCCTCAACAAGGGGACAGGGTGACACCTCAGTGCTCTTGACCTCAAGCTCTTCTGAATATATGCACTTTGGAAAGTGGGTCACTCTAAATCAAATCTTGTAATTGAGGAAGACGCATCTCCTACCTGGGTAGCTTGCATAAGAAAAAACACTCCTACCTGCCCAGGAAGAGTGGTCACTGAAACAACTGGGCAGTGACAGACACCACTGAGACCCAAGCTGCCTCCATCAGAATATCACACACAAGTGTTACTCAAACTGCCATCTCTCAGCACCCCAAATGCCCTTCAGGTCGCCCTGAAGACACCACACGTGCACTGCCTCAGTAGGAACTGGGAACACCCACTGTCCTCTGTCTTACTGAGGTGGCCCCCATACACCAAGAGCTCATCCTCTCAGATGGACAGACAGACCAGGGTTCTCCGGGTACTACTGCCCCACCACAGTGGCCAAGGTCGGCTAACACGGTTACACCTCACAAAGATGCAGAATGGATTTCATTACTTACTTGAAATTCACTTTCATTCTGAGCTTGTTCGGATCCCTCTTTATTACAGGACCTCTATGAATGAGAAAAAGCAAACACTTCCGGTGAGAGGGGGACACTAAGCAGACACTAACTTTGCAACCACCAGAACAGCCAGGGTTAACAAAACATCACAGATTTGTAATGAGTGCTTCTCAGCCCACTGATGTCTAAAATGCACCACCAGTAACCAGTACTAGTACCAACACCTGAAGAAGCGCTTTGTTTCTTTACAAGGAAAGGGAAGTGCTGTTGAGACCAAGTAGCTGCGACAATCACTCTGGTGTACCATTTCACAATTTCATTGTTTGAGGAAAGTCGATAGAGGGCGCTCTTCCAATCAGGCCTTCCACAGACCAAAGGACAAGCTGAGTCTCACCAATAGCCAGGTGGCTCTCTCCAGAGGAAGGCCTTCGCCGGGCAAGAGCAGGGAATGTCCGCATGCCGCGGCAAGTGTGGTCAGCACAGAACTCAGACGGAGAAGAAAGCCCTGTGCAGGCAGGTGACTTGGCACAGAAACTGTGCAGACGAGCAAGCCCACCAACTTGCTTCTTTCAGACTAACTCTGCTCGTTCCATTCAATATAAATTTGTCCTCCAAAGAGGTTTGTGCAAATTTAGTATAGTCCCTAAACTTAGTTCACCTTTTGGGATACGTTCACATCATTTTCCACAATGAAATTGCAAATTACTGGTAACCAGGATCCTAGCAATAACAACAACTAAATCATGAACTCTGCCACTCTGGCTACTGTTCCTTCATGGCACAGACCATTTCTTCTCAAAGCAACCCCCCACCCCAAGTCCTTTAAAAACCTTCATATTGTCTTCTAACCAGGGCATGGGAAAAGCAAGTCAGAAACTAAGCATCACGTCAACATTTTATATTCAAATATTGCCTCTAGAAATATGTTGTTAAAATTAAACTAAAGTCTGCTTATGTCAGACACAGAAGGAAGCCCATAAAGGAAGCTCTTTAAAAATGTTAAGGTAAAAGATTCTTGAACATCCCATGAAAAACATACCTTTCCATTCCACAGCTTTATCAAAAACACCTGTACCAAGGGTGGAAAGTGTGGACAGGAAAAAAAATGCCACGTTAAGCAACACCAGCTACTCTAGCACCATTAAAAAAACAAAAAAAAACAAAAAAACCTAGTGATTTAAAGCAACACTCTCATCCATCATACACGGAAGTAACATTCCACAGACATTTTATTTAATGTGTTTGGCATCAACAGTGTGCATTCTAGCTTACTTGATATAAAGTAAACAATGTAAATATTCATGTGCATGAGGCTATCTGCAAAGCCTTGCACTTACATATAATTAATAGTATCTTTACCATCCAGTTAAGTACATTTTGTACAAAGTACAGAAAATACAAATGGGGTATATATAACATTTTGTGTACTCTGCACCTCTCTGATGAAAAAGGTACAGGTTAAATCCCGTTAAGATGAGAGCTACAAAAATGAAAAGGCCACTGAAATACTTTTAGACCTGTGCTGATGGCTTGGTGTAAGATGTGATAAGCCTTAGGGGGGAGTCATTAGGTATCATGAAAGCTTTACCCTAAAATACTCTCATGACTGCATGGTTACCTTAGACTTTGTCTCCTCAACCCAGCGGCCTGTAAGTTAACTTTTGAATATGGACTCCATCTTTTATTTATGTCTTTCCAAAAAGCACCAAGCAAATTCTGGTGCTTGAACACATTTTGGATGGCATGAATAAACAAACACTCAAGCACCGTGAAGTTCAAGGTGCCAACTTAAGGTGCAGCCTAGGGTGACAGAGCTGACTGGCCATGGCAAACTCACACGCATGCTCCTGACACTGGGAAACAGCTACAGTGTTGACTGGAACACTGAAGGGGCTGATATGCCCCCAAAACATTACATCCTTGGGCTTTTTCTCCCCAAGGTAAGTTTACACAAAAGGAGTTCTATTATATGATATATTTCCTATTGATACTTTGTAGGGAAAGCTTTAACACATAAGGAATTCAGATAGCCTACTGAAATTTGCTGTAACGGGATTTGACCTGTACAGAATTCTAAATGATTGGTTATCCCTATGGGATAGGAGTTATTTCTTGAACTGTATCTTCTTAAGGAGATACAGTTAAATAGGTTATTAAGCCAACAGAAGTCCCTTTTCCTTGTCTAATGGTGCTCTCAAAAGCAAGTCACTTCATCCAAAGTTAGAACTGGCTTAGTCCCCAAGGCCATTCCCTTTGAACATATTAACACCAGTAAGTGCAAATAATCCCCCCCGCCCCCCGCCAAACACATGCATTACTTATGCCATCAGAGCACCATCATGAAGGCAAGATGGACTTCTGTCGTGGTCAACCTTCTGTTCTGTTTCCTCAGTACAGAATGCTCAGGTTCCCTCAGTCCTGTGAATAAATTCAGGGAATCTCAAGCCAAGAAGATACTCATGAAAAGGTGAGAGAAGAGGCCTCCTCCTGAGGTGAGCCAAGAAGAGAGACTCACATCGCCAAATAGGAGGTCAGAGAACGTTTCTGTCTGGGAAGACAGTAAAATATATCTTGCGATCTGTGGGATTTTACTTCACAGGCCCAAATTTGTCTGAAGTAGATATTAAAATATATTGTACAAATATTTAACATGACTTCAAATTTTCTGCCAACTAACTCACACATCCATAAAAATTAGCTTTCGTAAATTATAAAATAAAACTGAACATTTTTTGCTCTGGCCAGTTTGGTTCAGCGGTTCGAATGTCAGCCTGTGGACCAGAGTCCCGGGTTCAGTTCCCACTAGGGGAACGTACCAAAAAATACATATCAATAAGTAAATTAAATTAAATAAAGTGGGAGTCCCCTTTAAAAAAAACCTGAACTTTTTTTACATTTATCAGAAAAGTGAACACTTGACTGGTTATTTAATATTAAATAATTAGTGATTTTTTTAAATGTGAACATTACTCTGGCCATTTTTTAAAAAATGGCCTTAGATACAGACTGAAACATTCATGGAGGAGCAGGAGTCTGGAATTCGCTTCAGAATACCACTGGAGCGTGAATGAGGGTAAAGAAGAAAGAAGACTGGTCAGAGGCACTTAGGGTGCATTAGACTCTTCTGGTCTACTTTTGTTACATCTGAAATTCTCCATAATAAAAAGTTTAACCCTGGCTGGTTTGGCTTAGTGGTTCAGCATTGACCCACAGACCAAAGAGTCGTGGGTTCAATTCTGATCAAAGGCATGCACCTCGGATGCGGCCAGGCCCCCGCCCTGGTCGAGTCCAACGGGAGACAGCCAATCAATAGGTCTCTCTCACACTGATGTTTTTCTCTCTCTCCCGCTTTCTCTCTTCCTCCCTTCCTCCCTCCCTCTCTCCCACTCTATCTGAAGATAAATGGAAAAATATCCTCGGGTGAGGATTACAAAATAAATATGAAGTTTATAAAAGAAACTGAAATTTCAATACCTAAGAATCAGAATGCATCAAATATACTAAGACACCCAACTCTATGAATATCCTAAAACCACTGAATTGTACACTTTAAATGGGATCAAGATTTTACCAAAAAAAGACATCCAGTGGGAATCAAAAATATAGTGCTTCTGATTTCTATCTTCCTCATTCTTTTGTTCCTATTTTGGTTTTCAAGAGAACCTGTTAAGTATTCATTATAATCCATGTATTCATTAGACAGTGATATAGGAAATAAAGTAGACTAGAGTGGTAGCAATAATAAAGGGGTATGCTTTAACATTAAAGAAGATTTTATTTTTTTATTTTTAATCCTCACTCCAACATATTTTTCTTTTCTTTCTTTCTTTCTTTAATCCTCACCCGAGGACAGTTTTTCATTTTTTGTTCAGCTAGAGTGGGGGGCGGGGGGGGGGGGAGAGAGAGAAACATCCACGTGAAAGGGACACATCGAGTGTCCCACACGACCCAACCAGGGCCGGGGACAAACTGCAACCCAGTTATGTGCCATTATCAGGAACCGAACTCGGGTCTCTTGGGACCACAGGCCGATGCTCTAACCGCTGAGCCAAACTGGCCAGGGCTCCAGGATATTTTTCCATTGATTTTCAGATAGAATGAGAGGGAGGAAGGGAGAGAAAGAGACAGAAACATTAACTGGAGACACACATCAATTGGCTGCCTCCTGCATGACCCCAACCAGGGCCTGGAATTGAAATGTAACCGAGCAACACACCCTTGACCGAATCGAACCCTTGACTCTCCAATCTGCAGGCTGACACTCTAATGATTAGAGTCTAACCGATGAGCCAAACTGGCCAGGGCAATTACAGAAGATTTTAAAAGCTGAAACAGATTTTGATTGGCCAAAAACATTTAAATTTAAAACCTACATTCTTTCCTGGCCGGTGTGGCTCCGTGGATTGAGCAATGGCTCATGGACTGAGAAATCTTGGTTTGATTCCCGGTCAGGGCACATGCTGGGGTTGCGGGCTCGATCCCCAGTGGGGGCATGCAGGAGCCGCTGATTGATGTTTCTCTCTCTCTCTTCCTCTCTAAAAAAACCAATAAGAACATATTTTAAAACCTAAATTCCTAAAAGCCTAAATTCTATTAGATAGGAAATAATAAGATGAGAGAATAGAGGACTTTCACTTTTTACTTTATATATGTCCATACTTCAAAAAGTGTTTAAAAGTATGTTACTTTAATAATAAATACATATGGTACAAAGTTTCCAATGTTGCCTTTTCTGACAAAATCGCATTTAAGTCTTCTGAACTTTAAAGACCATAAAAAAAGATGTTCGTATGACAGGTTATTAGTGTTTAAAATGTTCTATTTCGTGATTTGCAAAGATGAAAATCCACTGGTAATAAGACATCTTTAGGGGCAAAGATGAGGAAATACCACCTGATTAGATTTTGTCACATATAATTTTAGGGTTCAAAAACTTTCTACTTTAATTTACCTGACGTTTCACAATCTAACCAGTTTATTTCTTTAAATCTGTTTAAGCCATTGGGCAAGATAAACTCTTATTATGGGACACATTTTTTTTTTTTAATCCT